TTCAGCATCTGTTTTTCAGTATCCTCGCGATCAAGATGTGATAAGTAGACCAGTGTTGCCCTCATGATCTTATATTGAACTAAGACATCATTGTCCTTCATAGTTTCGCGACAATATTCCCATTTTCATCTTCAACAATAATAACCTCCTCAGGCTTTGCCATACGACAGATCATAAGTGATCTTAGCTTTGACAAAATTGGACCAAGATAAAGCAATGACACCTGCAATCCCATCATGTTTGCAGCTGCAGGATTCTCTACATTGCGATGTGCCCTAAACAGCTCCGAAGCTAAGGAGTTCCAGTAATCCAAGCAAACCTTAAAAGATGTTTATGAGATATTCAAGACCGATTACAAGTGCAGATTTATTCTCATGTGTGGACTCAAGCACTCGAATATGACACTCGAAAAATGAAGTGAAAAGCAGAGCAAGATTGTGAATAAATGCCTGCTCCTCACCCGAACCATTCGCATAAGCATTGGGAATGTTCGTAGTAGGTGGGAGAATGGTCTGCAAATGCATCGTGAATATGTTATACATTTTAACATACTGCAGGTTATATAAATCTCCAAAATTGAAAGCCGCGACTTCTGTCAAACACTGGAGGGCGAGATTCCGAAATGATGCTACAGGGAAGAATTTTAGGAGTATCTCCAACAGCGGAGATTCGAATATGTATCCTAGAGGTATCCATGATAGAAAAGCGTGCAACATTGTATCCAAAGTAGCCCTTACAAGCTCAGTTCTTTGAGATTCTGAAAGTACAAACAGGAATAACTCAAGAATGAGTTGAAACTCACAGTTCAATGATTGTTTGAGCTCTTTGATCTTCTGTTGAGCCAATTCACCCCTCGAGGAATCGAAAACCTCTTCACTTAGAAGTTTCAATATGGCCATGGAATTCTCACAAACAGTTTCACTTGTTCTCGCTGCTGCAACAAGATCGGGGATAAACCTTGGCCATCTCGCAAGCCATTCGTGCTTCAAGATCTGAACCAATATGATGTTGAGTTTGTTCACATACAACCTTTCCCGCCGAAAAGAGATTTCATCGCTTGAAAGCCTTATGATCAGTTCACAGATGTAGTTTTTCATTCCATCTCGTTGTTCGACGGGCAATGCATTCCATCTGTACTTGATTACAGATTCCAAAACCTGCAAAGCGAAGAATTTGGTGTTCAAGTTGTGTGAATTTGATAGAATGTGAAGCACTTGAAGCCACATATCTGGATTGTTTTGCAAGTCTTGCAATATATGGTCTGCGACAGCCTCTCCTCTTTAGATCCGGTGCCATAGAAAGCAGCGATGGTGGCGTCGAGCAAGGCAACGTCAATCGGTTGACTTAAGTCCCTAAGTTTCTCAGCGGCCATGGATTGGAGAGATCAAAACCAATAAACCCTAGCTGGAAGCCGAACCTCTATTCGAAAACCTTAGAAAAGCATTTATGAAACCCTAGCTAGTTCGAAGAGTTTATATAGAGAGATAGCTTCAAATTCAAGCACAACATAGCTTCAAATTCAAGCACAAGACAGCTGGAGGAGATTGAGAGAGAGTTCGAGAAATCCCAAAGAGCAAATATAATGAAAGAAAAATAAGACCCAATAAAATATATTTTTTTATCAAATTGAAGGTTAAAATCGACATAAAAATTCTAACGGAGGTTAATTACGTAAACAACAATGAGATATTGATTGTAATTTTTCTAGAATTTGATTGGTGAAAAAGCTATAGAATAAAAAAATAATAATAAAAAAAAATGAGGAATAAGTCAACTAAAGGCACGAGTTAAATTAAATGTATTGAGCACTCAGACAATAAAAATATTAGTTAATTAATGAGAACAACCTATGTGATGATAGATGGGAAAAAAAAAATACTTTCAGCACCTATTAAATGAAAAAATTATTAGAAAAAAAGTAAAAACAAAAATAAACTAAAAACAAAATGAGAGAGGATGAGGAATAAGAAAGTAGTTTTGTCTCAACTACATTCACATGCAAAATTTGGAAATTGAATGACTAATAAATTTACCCAGCAATGTTTATAAATTGTAATTGAAAAAAAATGATGTCAAATGAGCGGAGGGAAGACGCAATTGCAACACTTCATAAATAAATTAAAAAACAAATAGGGGATAAAAATGATGCTCATAGTATATTTTATGGGTATTTTCTATACTTGTCTCTATTGAAATATATATATATATATATATATATATATATATATATATAATGAGTACATTAGTTATAAATCGCAACATATCTTACTAATTTTTCAATAAGATTATTTTACAGAATAATTTTTATTTTTTTTATGACAAACGAATAAATTTATATTTGTGAATCATAGACCAATATGGGCAACCACCTCCCGAATACATAGGGGGAATATCACAAGATCGATTCTTTTAACAAAAAGAAAAAAATTTATATCATATAAGAAGAAAGCGGAGTTCATTTTTCACTTAAGTCATAATGAACATAGTCACCGAGTAGCTTTGAACTCATTCTTATTTATAATAATTTTAAGTGAAATAAAAAAATTCATTTTTCACTTAAGTCGCAATGAACATAGTCACCCACTCACCTAGTAGCTTTGAACTCATTCTTATTTGCAATAATTTTAAGTGAAATAAAAAAATTAAGACATACAACCATACATTTTATGGTGAATGTTATTTGACAAATGATATGATAGTATAAGATACTCATAAGAAAAACTGAATAATAAAATTAGAAATGTGAAAAAAGTACTAGAACAAAAAGTTTCAAAAATTAGTTGGACTAAAATTGAATATAGGCAATACAAACTTACCCAATAAGTAAGGTTTTGATACTACTTCAGAATAAAAGAATTATTCAGGATGACCGATTTTTATGTTTAAGACAATAATACAAAAGAACAATGAGATGGAAGATGATATAATTAGCATAATTAGATCAGATTGAAGATATAGAAACAAATTAGCACAGTTACAAATAAGTTACTTAAAAAAAAAAAAATTGGTTAAAAATTAATAAGGTTTTTAAAAACAAATTTTACGAAAAAATCACTACACCAACTATTTTATATGATTCAGAGTTTTGGATTTTAGAAATAAATAAAAACTAACAATTTCACGTAATTAGAACAACGTGCTTAAGTTGAATGCAATTTCACGTGATAAGAACAATGTGCTTAAGTTGAATGGTAGGAGAGACTAGAATATTGTGAGTGGAAAATTAGAAAGTAACTAGACTTGTATGAATGTATTATAGGAGTACTCACTAATCTGATGTGTTTCCAAATGATTGAAAAAATCTAAATCGCCACCAATACGTGGGATGACAGATTAGATCAAATTTATAGGATAATGAAATGGATCGAATCAGATTATTGAATTGGGGTTTTTCCAAATAGCTCAATATTATTATTTTTTAACTCTGTCCAATAAAAAAAGATTTTAATTTATCAAGATTAATTCATATATGTAAATGATCATTAACTATATTTCTTAATAGAGTTGTAAACGAGTCAAGCCGTTCGCGAACTACTCGGGCCCGACTCGTTAATTACTCGGCTCGAGCTCGGTTCATTTATAAATGAACCGAGCTTGAGCCGAATTTTTAGGCTCAATTCATAAACAAGCCGAGCCTGAACATCAATAGGCTTAGCTCATTTGTTTACGAACCGTTCACGAACTGAGCTCGATAAGGCATTCACGAACATACTCGATTATAATATATAATTTTATGTTATGAAGGCTTAGTCCACAGGCCTATTAATATTTTTAGTTATGTTTTAGACCCAATTTTATTATTTATTCATTTTAAAACAAAAACTAAACCCATCTATACAATCAACACACAAGCCCATTAAATTTTTTAGTTTTGTTTTAGACCGAATTTTATCATTTATTCATTTTAAAACAACAATCAAGCCCATTTGTACAATCAAACATAAGTCCATCTGTACAATCAAACCCAAGCTCATGTCTTATGTCTAACTCTAATCATCTTTCCTTTTTCTAAAATTATCAGTAGCCCAAGCAGTAGCGACAACACACTCAACAATTTACTTTCTGTCATGGAATCTTACTTCTCTTTCTCTTTCTTTTCTTATATTTGATTTTTATGTATTAATTGTCTTTCATCTAAATTGATTTTTAGTATAGATTTTGAGGTTTACTATTGATATGTGCATCTCTCAACTTCTTCCATCAAAATCAACTCTAGTAAGTTTAATTTTCGATCAAATTTATCACCTTCTTTCTCTTTTTTTCCTCATATTCTCTCATTTTTTTTTTTTTTTTTTTTTAGATCGGTTAGATGTGGGATACAAATAATAATAATAATAATAAATAAATAAATAAATAGCTCGAGCTCGGCTCGAGGCTCGTTGAACAGAGCCGAGGCGAGCTTAAACCAATATTTCTCAGCTCGGCTCGGCTAGCCGAGTTTGAGCATTCTATCACTTGAGCCGAGTCGAGCTTGAGCACACCATGGCTTGGCTCGGCTCAATTACAGCCCTATTTCTTAGAGGCAATTAGATGATCATTAACCAATTTTAATTTAAAATATCATTAATTAATACATTCTTAATATATATATATATCGCGAATTTAATTGAATTGAATCGGATCGAATCAAATTTTTAACAACTCAATTCGTAATTCAATATGTGAACTACAAATTTCATATTATTGAATTTACCACCAATTTGTAAGTTTAACGATCCAATCCGAATTGGCGGATTAAATGTCCATCCCTAATATATTCTACAAAGGTGTATAAATGCAAAATAAAAAAATGAAAATTAATTTGAAGTAAAATGTTTATAATAATAAATAATGTAAAAAATATATATATATATATATATGGCCGACCATACTGATTTGGGATTAAGGCAAGAAAATCGATTGTCAATAAAATCTAATGGAGGAGGAAAGAAGAAAAATTAATTTAACATTATTGTGTAACACTTTGTTATTATTATTTTTTTCCGGAAAGATGTAACAACTTTTTTATTTTATTTTTCGCGCGAATTTAAATTAAGGTCAAAACTCAAAAGAAAATTCCGGAGCCTTTACTAATTCCAATCCTTTCCATTTTCATTTTCATTTCACTCCCTCCTTGGACAAAAACCCCAACCCCAGCCCCAGCATTGACTACAATCTGTTCGAAGAAATTTCCCAAACTAACCAATTCCTTCCAACCATGGAGGGCAGCATTCTCGAATCAATCGGAGTCGAAATCATCGGCGTGATGTCCCCAGTATCCATATGCATGCTCTTGGTCGTCCTCCTCGTCTACACCCTCACTTCTTCATCCTCCGCCGACGCCTCCGCCGACCAAATCCGCACCGCCGCCAACCTCGTCTACCTCGAGAGCCCTTCCGATTCCGCTGCCCAGAAGCTCGAAGGCGCTTTGCTCAACGCCTTGGTCTTCGTCATCCTCATCGCCGTCGTCACCTTCGTACTGGTACTTCTTTACTACTACAACTTCACCAATTTCTTGAAGAACTACATGCGCTTTTCTGCTTTCTTTGTCCTTGGCACTATGGGTGGGTCGATCTTTCTCTCTATAATTCAACAATTCTCGATACCCATCGATTCGATCACTTGTTTTGTGTTGCTTTTCAATTTTACTGTTGTGGGTGTCCTTTGTGTGTTTTCGGGTGGTGTTCCTATATTGTTGCGTCAGGCTTATATGGTTGTTTTGGGGATAATTGTGGCCGCCTGGTTCACCAAGTTGCCCGAATGGACTACTTGGGTTTTGCTGGCGGCATTGGCTTTATATGATTTGGCTGCGGTTTTGGCCCCAGGCGGGCCTCTTAAGATCTTGGTTGAATTGGCATCGACTCGGGATGAGGAGCTTCCAGCTCTTGTCTACGAGGCTCGACCAAATCCTCAAGGCCGGGGATCTAGTTTAAGTCTTTTGGTTGGTGGGGTTTCGGATTCTGGGTCTGTTGAGCTTCAGGCAGTTTCGCAGAACAATGAGGTTCGGAATGAGAGTGCAGTCCAAAATTTTGCTAATTCTGAGTACACTGCAACTGGTGTTAGAAACTTTCAGAATGACGGAGTTGAAATTGTGAGAGATGAAGGGGAGACATCGCCCTTGGTGCCCAATTCGCGAGAAAGGTCATGCAGTAGTGGATCTTCAGAATACTCGACAGTAGCAGATGTTTCATTCAATCAAAATAGGCAATATGACCATGGACAATCTGAAATTGTTGTTGATGAAGAAATGTCTCCACTGGTAGAAATGTTGGGGTTGGGGAATGAGAGAGAACAGATGAGGATGGATGGTCCTGGGACCTCTGAGACGGCTAGTCGAGGTATAAAACTTGGTCTGGGGGACTTTGTTTTCTATAGTGTTCTTGTGGGCAGAGCTGCAATGTACGATCTAATGACTGTGTATGCTTGTTACCTAGCAATTATATCGGGACTGGGATGCACTCTGATTCTGTTGTCTGTGTGCCGTCATGCACTGCCTGCTCTTCCTATTTCTATTGCATTGGGCATGATGTTTTACTTCTTGACTCGTTTATTAATGGAACCTTTCATTGTTGGGACGTCCACAAATTTGATGATGTTTTGATCCTCAAATTTTTCTTTGAGGTACTTGCACTGTTTAGAAAAACGATGACCACTGAAGACATGGAATTCCTATATGAAGAGATAGATATTGGTCCATGACTATCTGCTGTGGTGTTGTTACCTTTTCACAATTCAAGACTTTCCTTGGATTATGCAGCAACTCCAACACCATTTGATATTGCTTTGACGTATTTTCGGGTGGCTTTTCAGGTTGGTTTATCATGAATTCCAGAACAAATTTTTTCATGCTAAAGCATGTTGAGATGTCACTTTTTTGGCTTTTAACTCAACAGAGATGTAATGTTCGAAATATAATCACATAGTACAACAACATTCTAAAGAATTACGTGTTTGGTATGTGTTTATCAAATTAGGTTCTTAATTTGTGTGTTTATTATCTTCTTGATGTATATTTAGTATTACAGCAGGCTCTAGGCCTTTTGAATGTTAAAGCTAACTTTTTACCTGCTTCACTTATTCCTGTTCAAATTGATGTTTAGTAAATATCCACTGATGGCTATGATGGATAACCTATCTAGAATTTAATATTCAGAATAACCACTTTAAAATACTATTAGATGCCATTCTATCTATCAGCATGCTTATTTTTGAATAATCAAATAGCTGCACAAAGATGGCATCTATTGGATGTTATTTGAATGAAGAGTTAGCAGAGTTGAATGCCAAGTCCCTTATGAGATTAAAACTTTCGGAGAGAATGCCTCAATTTTCTGTGCCTTTTGAATGTTAAAGCTAACTTCTTACCTGCTTCACTTATTCCTGTTCAAATTGATGTTTAGTAAATATCCATTGATTGCTACGATGAATAACCTATCTAGAATTTAATATTCAGAATAACCACTTTAAAATACTATTAGATGCCATTCTATAAATCAGCATGCTTATTTTTGAATAATCAGATAGTTGCCCGAAGATGGCGTCTATTGGATGTTATTTGAATGAAGAGTTAGCAGAGGTGAATGCCAAGTCCCTTATGAGATTAAAACTTTCGGAGAGAATGCCTCAATTTTCTTGATGCGCATGTTGTATTAAAAGAATTTTGGAACAATAAATTGGGCACCCTTGCATGGTTCTTATTCTATTACCATTTGGCAAATGCTCTTCATTGACTTGGCCAGTAATATTTATACGATAAAGTGCGTATCACATTTTAATTCTCCTTATAAGGCCTTCCTCTGGATTTTGATTTCTTGATTGGAGAGAAATGGAAATTTTTTAAAGAGAACAATGGAATTTTTTTTGTGGTGTGTGTGTGTATGTGTGAGTACTTACCTAACCAAAAAAAAAAAAGAAGAAGAAGAAGAAAGAAAGAAAGAAAGAGAGAGAGAGACGGTGTCTTTATTGATAACATTCAAGTCACGATGTCCTTTGGCTTCCATGACCAATAAATGAGTAGTGCTCCTTTTTTCTTCCAGTTTGTGGGATTCTGTGGTTTGTTCTGATAGAGCATTAAATGTGAAGATGACGAACATATAGGCCTTCCTCTAAGGGGTAGAATGAAGTTCAAATTATTGGGATTGGTGAGATTTGTTTGGTCCAATGGATTACAAGAATATTTCTACTGGTGTACACCCCACCCCACCCTATTACAATTCGCTTAGGAGATGATAGTTTTCCATAAGCATGACCCAAAAAAACAAAAAGGTTTCCATAAGTGATTGTGTTCTATAAAAACCAAATCCTAGGCCTTTTAGGTTACAATGGTGAACTCCAAGCTAAGTTTTATTAGGGGATATAGAAATGATGAAAGGAGCTACATCTAATCTTCAGCTTGCCATATGGAGTTATGAGAGGTACTGCTGTTTTGGTATGCTTGTGGGTGCACATTTTTGGCAATATAAAGCATTTCTATCATGTTAAGTTGCTGGCCTACAATGAGTTTAGATGTATTGTTACTGTATACATGAGGATCATAGTGTCAATCTACTGTTTTGGAATTTGTAAGCTGTCTAACTCATTTGAACACTTCAGGTTATAAATTGAAAGTGAGCTAGAGAAGGCTTTTCAGTGAATAGTTTATATTTCTTATCATTGTTTTCAAATGGCTAATCAAGGTTCAGTTTTGAGGCGAGTGTTCAATTGTTTTTTTTTTATCTTTTATATAGTGCCAGGCAGTAGGGCTGTTCGTTCTACATCACCCCACAAGTTTTTGCAACTAAGTTTAGCTCCTAGGTTGCATATACTTTTACCAAGAGGAGTGACCATCACCTGGGAAAACCATATGGGGAACACAATATGCATTATATTCCTTTCTTTTATTTTATTTGTTTGTACTTTTTGTGCATTATTTTTCTTTCCTTGAGAAGTATATAGGAATTATGAGACTATTGAACTAGTAAAAATAGATCTTTCCCTAAATACACCCATATTGTGAAAATCTAAATAACTAATTTCTTAAAACAATAATATTGATACACGCAGACTATTATACCATTCTTTTTTGATAAGTCAGACTATTATACCATTCATTTAAAATATTATGCATAAAGAAATGGTATAATTTTAAGTTCAACATAATTCCCAATAAAGTTGAATTTCCGTGTGCTTTTTGTAGGAAAAATTTGTGGGAAATTTAAGTGGTTATGGAAAGTTTTTTCCCTTCAAAAATTTTCTTTTCTTGCCATCCAAACTCTGAATATTAAATTTTTTCATTTCCTTCACTTTCTGCTACTTCCTGTCTAACCAAACTAAGCCTAGAGGAAAACTGAGTGACCCGTGAGATTTTGTACAAGTCCATTTTTTCATAAATTGCATTTGACTATTTTTATTATAACAATAATGTTTCTGTACTTATCAGTTGTTTACATGATGACATCATTCTAAATGCACAATTTAAATATCAAATACTCTAGAATATGCAATGAAATTATTTTAGGTTTAAAAAAGCCAAAGATGTTCAGGTCAGAGATTTACAACTCTCCAATGCATGTTACACCAAATGGTTTCTTTTTAATTTTGCTGGGTTTGGCTTGCATCTCACTTGTGTTTTGATTTGGAAAGACAAGTTCAAAACACCTTGGATATGCTTAGAAAAGTTGTTAAATTTTTATTCATCTAAATTTCCTAGCAATACTTATAAAAAAATGCTTAGTATCACATTATTGGCAACAATTGAGTGATTTCATCCTTTTTTACATGTTTCTTCTTTATATGTGTTAAAAATTTCCTCCTTTTTTACATGTTTTTTCTTCTTTATATGTATAGTTGATCTTCAGCACTCTTCTCTTGCAGTTGACAGACCTTTTGTCCTTATCAGATTAGTTGAAAATGATTTGTTTTCTTATTTGTAGAATTTGTGTTATTTCTTTAACGTTGATCAGAGTCTTGTGTATCTTTTATTGTAGAACCTTTATTTGGCCTGCACTGCAAATAATGGAATCAGCATACATGCAATAAAGAGTCCCTTCAATATTTAATATTGTTTTCTTTTGTTTTTTTCCACATTTTTATATCCAACAATAACGGGATCTCCACTTTCACAATCCTGTAACTTTAATTTCTTTAATTTATTGTGGTTTATGATTCTTAAAAAAGTGAAAGATTCTATTAATTGTTAATTGCATTATATAAATTTGGAAGGAATTTACTATTCTCTATCTGATTTTGTTTATTCATGATGTTTGATATACATGCAACCATAGAAGTGTGTTCTTTCGATTGTTAATTGATGTTGCTATTGTTATACTTGTTGATTGAGAGGGAGTTGTTGAGGTAAATTTGTTTTGTTTTGTTTTCCAAATTTCCTCCCATCGTAAGTGTAATTTTGGCCTTCTCATAAATGGTCAAAAACATTTCTTCCCCCATAGTTGTTGTTGGCATTGTTGCACTTTTCAAGTGTTGCAGCGGCATATGCACATCTTTCTTTTGGGGAATGCTGTGTTGACAAATTTTGTCTAGTTTTACTGTATGAACTCATCATGTTTATCCTTCATAATTTTATAACATGTTTATCTTTAAATTCCGCTCAAAAGTTTTAATGGTTTTGTTTATATTTGTGCAATATATAGCATGATTTGCTTTCATATAACTATATATATAATCGAAACATGACACGGAGAGGACACAGCTTTTTGTAGAGTGCAGTGTTGGTTCGAGTAAATTTTATTGGACAAAGAAGAGACTGTAAAGGGGGGCAGTTGTTTATTGGCTTCCATGAAACTGCAGTCAACTTCATCCTCCTCTTTATGTCCTCCTCGTAATCGTGTAATTGAGCAAAAAGGAATGCAGTTCTTAGTTCAGGGGCTGTCTCCCACTTTTATTGTTCATCAGTATGGATGAAGTTGGGAATTGGGCGATGTTTTCATGATTTATGGCAGGGACCAATTTTGGTTTAGAAGAAGTAAATTTTAACTACTTTGATGAAGTGAGAATTAATTGGTTTCCTGTAGGCAATTTACAGATTTTAGCTTTCAGTAGGTGATAGTTTAAATCCGTGTCATATAACATGTTGAAGCTAGAAGCAGTGTGGGAAACACCTATGCAGCCCTCAGTGGCAGCGTTTACTATCTTTATTTTAATTATTATTTTTATTGTATAGAACTTGTTTGGTACTGTTAAAATGAACGATGCAGATTGATGTATTTCTTAATTTCGCAAGTATTAGATTTCTTGCGTCATGTATCCAACAAGTTAGGACATTAATATATAGCTAATAAATCAACATTAGTACATAGTATAATAAATCAACATTATTTTTCTAAAGAAAAAAATGTTTTGGTAAGCATTGTTGAGACAAAAACATGTTGTAATGGCACTCCACGTCAACCGATTAACATTAGTCTTAATTTTTGGTTTGATAAAAGGAGCTTTGAATCATTGGTTGGGAGGCCGAAGTTGAGGGGTCACCTTCTCTTCTCTTCTACCTTGTGCGTCTTGGACGTGGATGTGGGCGGTAATTGATTAGTATTTCCAACACCTTCAAACTCCTGTAATCTTATGTAGGCTTGCGCTCTGGAGTTTAGGGCACCCATATCTGGAGGGGTATACTTTACCAGAGAGATGTGCAAATTAGAGCCCTGGATCATTGCCAGCTTGAAAGCTTCCACCGCTGTGATTTGATCGCATCCGTCCACCGTGCTCAACTCAGGTTGAACCTCCTCAGGAACGCTTCCAAGCTTTCTCCCTCATCTTGTCTCAGGCTTGACACCGTTTTCTTTATCTTCCACTTGCCCAACAAATCGGGATTCGCTCCGCCCTCCACTCGTTCCACCCTTGCTCGCAGTTCAGCGTTCTCCGACCGAAGTTGCTCAACTTCCTCCCGCACCCTCAATATGTTCTCGTTAAGTCGCTCATAGCTTTCTGCTCCCATCATCGTGACAGTTCCTAACTCTACCCTTGACTCTACCCCTAGTCTAGGACCCTTTCTCGATTACCACAGATGGTGGTGAAGTGCGGATGCAAAAACCTATAGCGAAGCTTTTTTTTCCAATACTCAATACTCCAAATCATATACTTACATATATATATATTCTCCAAAAGATAGATTTCTTTTCCAAAAAAGCCGTCCCTTTCCTTGTGGGACTGTCTTCAATTGGTATACACCGTAAACCCTAATTGGATTCCAAGTCAGTATTTTTGGATTTCTTCTTTTTCCCATTGTAGGCCAACATGGGTCCGATTGGTAGGATGTTCGGACCATTTTCCTGGCTTGACCCATATCTAACCTGCTTCGCACTATGATTAGAGCCCACCGAGGAAACTTTCCCCACCCCACCCCCAAAAACTTTCTTGTGTATGACTCGATTTGATGGTTTAATGCACTCCACATCAACCGATTAAAATTACTCTTAATTTGTTTAAAATTAAGTTAATAATCTTTTGCTCCAATTATTAGCATGTAAAATAGTATCATCTAAGTTTAAATTCAGCCTTTTAAACCTATATATATGAGTCATTATACAAAAGTCATGATGCAATTGAATTGAAAATGACTTCATATTCCACTTATATAAAATAATCTGCCACATCCTCTTTTCAAATGTTAAATAACTATGTACATGATGAGTCCATGATCGTTAATTTGAGTTGAGCCTTGTAGTCCAAACATAGTCCCACAAGTGATAATTTCATGGTTGGAATGCTCTCACCCAACACTGTTGGGCTTGCAAATCAATTTCCATTTGGGTTTCAAACTCTATGTCCTGGTCCAGCCCATTTTGACCCGGTCCGCACACATCCAAACCCGTCTGTTTGCCGAGCATTCTTGCAGTGTTTTTTATTTTTTTATCTCCCATGAAGAAAGAGGTGGGTAACATATTGAAATGTTAAAGAGGATTAGAATACAATTTACCTTTTTAATTTGTTTCTGGTTTTTTTTTTTTTGGTTGAACTATAGAACCAATTATAGATCAAAACTTATAAAAAGAAGCCTAAAGTGCAAAAAAAAACCTCCTGAATTATGTCCAAATTTGTAAATAACTCTTCTGAAGTATTTTTTGTGAATAAAATCTCTTGAATTATCACATTTAGTTGCAAAATGCCCCATTGCCTTGCCTATTTTTCATTAAATGATCATAGTACCCTTTCTTATTCAATTACACTTGATCTATTTTTCTTGTTGAAATAAATTATGAAAAAAATTCATACTAATTTGATGAAATATTCTCCATTAAATTTACATAATTTTGAAGTTAATTATTTAAATAAAAATCTTAAGTAGAAAATTTTGAAATAATTTAAGTAATTTCTTAATTTTGAATGAATATATTGCATAAAAAAGAAGAAATTTTTTATTTAAGTAATTTATTAATATTGCATAAAAAAGATATTTTTTATTTACCCAATTTATTAATTTTGCATGAATATTGTATTAAAAAGAAGGTATTTGATTACACTAACTTTTATTAAAGTGAGTATAATAAGTTAATCATTTTAGAAAAGGGTAGCTACTAATCTATTTATTATTTTCTATTTTTATGATAAATTGATAATAATTATAAAATTAAGGTAAATGGTATAATTAATTTTTGAATAAGAGAAAATATAATAAAAAAATGACAATTTTAATAAGAAAGGATAATATAGTCTTTTGTAATGAGTTCGTCCTCAATTACAACAAATTAATAATTACAATCTTTAATTCACAAAGTTATTTACAAAAAAACTATAATTCAGGAAATTTTCTGCACTACAAGAATTTAGTTTAAGATAGATATAAACACACACGCACCCATATATAACCGAAAGGTTGAAGAGATGAAAAATAAAAACAAAAACTTGAAAGTTCCCCATGCATCTTTGGTGATAAACTGCAATGGCATGTGACCCTTAAGGAAAAGAGAAGAAAATTCAATATATGTTGTGGCTTTGGTTGAAAATGGCCATAATAAAGTCTGTAAAAAGGGCAGTGAGTCAGATAGGTAGATCAATGAGTTAAAAAGAACTCCTCTCTTAAAGTCACCTTGTATATAATCACTCACATGTTCATGTCACTATTTGAGAGGTTCATAGAAGATATAGAAAAAGAGAGCAAGAGAGAGAGAGAGAAACACAGCCATGGGTAGACCTCCATGCTGTGAGAAAGATGGTATCAAGAAAGGTCCATGGACCCCTGAAGAAGATATCATCCTCGTCTCCTATATCCAAGAACACGGTCCCGGAAATTGGAGAGCTGTGCCTTCCAACACCGGTAATATATACACCTCTCTTTCCATGAATTTTCAACTTTCATCACTTATCAATAAAAAAAATTCTATGCTATCTGATTAATTTTTAGGTATTTTTTGTTGAAGAATAATTTTTAGTTTTATTTTTTGGACTTAATTTCACCTTTGATCTACACATCTAATCAGATAGACTAACGAATAGTATTCAAACGTACTTCTCTTGGTTGGAAAAAAAAAAAAAAAAAGGATTGTTAAGGTGCAGCAAGAGTTGCAGACTTAGATGGACTAACTATCTCCGTCCCGGAATCAAGCGAGGCAACTTCACCCCTCATGAAGAAGGGATGATAATTCACTTGCAAGCTTTATTGGGTAACAAGTAATTTTTCATAAATTTAAATTCATCTCTCTCTTTTATATTAATTAATATTCAGATATATATTGAAGATCAAAGTTATATATATACATATATGCTTTATTAATTTTCACTCAATTTGAAAATTTAAGAACAATTGTTTTCTTATCTTCTTTATCGAGTCTTTTGTGATATATGTTGACTTTTGTGGGTGCAGATGGGCAGCCATAGCTAAATATCTCCCGCAAAGAACAGACAATGATATAAAGAACTATTGGAACACCCACTTGAAGAAGAAGATCAAAAGATATCAAGCAGCTTTGAACCCCCAAATGGAATCACCTGATCATAATTCAGCTCCATATCAGTTTGTACCCAAAAGCTTCACTACTAGTGACAAAAAGATGAACCTAGAACAACACCACCTGATCACAGCCCAAACCTCCTCTAGCAGTACTTCTACTCTTCTACTCAACCACAACAACACTACTACTTCCACCTATGCCTCGAGCACCGAAAACATTTCAAAACTCCTTCAAGGTTGGATGAGATCATCTTCCCCAAAGGCTCATGATGATGATCAAGAGAAACAGCTGCACCACCAAGACAGCAGCAGCGGGAACAATACGATCAAAAACTCTGCGGCAACGACTTCTCTTATGTGTTACCGGACCAAGGCTGAGCAAGAAGGAAGTGACTTGATCTCGAACGAAGAATTCGAGTCGATTCTATCGTTTGATAACTTGAATGGCATTGCTTGGGACAAGTCATCATCTTGTGATTCCACGGTTAAAAGCTCTCCAACTGGTGGAGCCGCCGACGACGAAAAGGTCCATCATCTTGTGCATGAAAAGAGCAAGCAAAGGTCTGATATTACCAATCCTTCTCCATTTTCTTTTCTTGAGAAATGGTTCTTGGATGAAACAGCTGGTCAAGTAGAAGAGATCATGGAAATTCCTCCAATATTCTGAGAAAAGAGTCACATTTGATTCTTCTCTCTTTTCTTGCGTTGGGGCTTCAAATAAAAATAAAATGGAAAAAAAAAACAATTAAGTGTTTGATCTGATCTTTAATTGTGGGTACTTAATTATCTTTTGTAGGGGATTTCTATAAGGTTGGGATCTCTTTTGCAAAATGTAACCTCAGTAGTACTGATAATGTTCCTGAATGAACTAAGCTTAGTTTATTTTCTTTTGTACGTCTTCGCTTATTTATTTTTTTATTATTTTTTATTTTTTTAGGTATATATATTTATGCTTAAACCATAAATAGCAGCTAATTATTGACGATTCAAATGAATGGGTTATACACCTCTTGTCCATCTCACGGAGGTGGGTCAGATTCAGACCCAAGATAAATGCAGTCTGACCCACATTAAAAAGCATTTAAAAGTAGAAAGCTTTCAATTAAATTTATGTAATACATCACAAGTTGACAGTAATTAAAACTAACACAACTCCACGTTAAAAATGAAATGAAATTGCCAATCACATTATGCACCAACCTGTCGAATGTGGGTCAGAATAATATGTGTATATATATATATCATATATGTAAGTACTGATCAAGTTCTTTTTAAAAAGAAGAAACTTTTATTGTGGTTGAGGAAGATATAAAATGGTAAATACTAAACATATAAGTGAATAGTATGGTGTCACGGAAGTCTTGCAACAAAATAGGTTAAATATTTGGTTCAAGACTTTCTTTTACAAATGTGGAAGAGGGAAACATGTGATCTGCTTGACCCTTCGGTGTGGTAATCAAACTCAGATGCTTTCATGGCCACCATGCAAAGCTTTCACAGGATGAAGAATAGGGTTTTGCTTTTTCACATATGGAGTGTGTTGCCTCCATATCACCAACAACATCAAAATTAAGAGGTCAAACACAACATATATACTCAATCTTCCAGTACTCCATAATGTGGCCAGTCATTTCACACACACTTTTTAACCACAACTGGGCTCAAACTACCACTAAGCTAAATGCCATTTGTTGAAAAAAATCCAATTTGCTCAAAACATCAGATCCCATTTTGGTAGATCCCGCAATCACGGGAGCATCATGCATTGGATTTGCCCCCTCCTTTTTTATGATTTACTGATTTCTCTTCTATTTTTAAAATCAAAAGGAGAGAATTGAAAGTCTCTCCAAACACATTGTGGGGGTTATTTATTTATTTATTTTTTTTATTTATTTTAATTAAAAATAATAATAATAACAAAAAAGAAAAAGAAAAAATGGTAGATCAAACTGATCCAATATCAAGGGGCAAAACCAAATGAGTGTATGAGATCCTAGGTATTGTCCAATCGCTATATTGATCCCACAGCTTTCATTGCGATTTAAGCGTTGTCCTATTTTGAAAACCTAATTAGTGTACACTCTCTTTCTATTGCAAATCAATATCTATTTCGGAAAAAGAAATGGAGTTTTCTTACTTCAAGTCCACCACAGCATTAAGTGACCTACTTTATGGCCTTCAAATTAGGCTAAGTATATGGGCCACCGCTTGAGATAAAGGCATGCCGCCCAGTTTTCTTTTAGACGTGATATCATTTACTCTTTTGAAACCGACCTTTCTCAAACAAATATCACCCTTCATTCAAAATAATACACTAACTTAATTCTATAATACTCTGCCAACTCACCATTTCATCCCTATAATCCAACAGCGGTAGGTGGGTTTGTTAGAGTTCATCCAAAAGGTTTCTTGCATATGCGGGAGGGTAGAAATCAACCCCCATGTGATATGGGATCCACCACAACACCATATTATCAACAGAATTCGGCCCTAAAATCAACCTTCTATTTTTGAAGGTAGAAAAGATGTTACGTGAGATTACAATAGTGCCACATGCTACTTAAATAAGTAGCACTGCAGCTAGTGTTTTTGTATTCTCTGTAGTTGCAAAGAAATAAATCTGGCACAAACAACCAAACATGAATAATTTTTACCAATTTAATAACATTCAAGGAATGAATTGAATTCTCAGAAGTTTCAGTCAATTCCATTCAATGATTCTACTATGCACCAGCCTGTCTATGATCCACTGCAGTAACATTCAAATTTAACAGAGTGGTGCTCATCAGAGTCCAACTCATCCATGTTAATGCAACGACTAGTTCAGCGACTCATAATAAGCGGGCTGATCCATTTCACGTAGGGCCTATCTTTTCTGTTCAAGGACAGATCTGCATGGCCCATTCTAGTTTCTGCACCAAGCCCAATGGGCCTAAAACATTCCATATACACTCTCACAACAATACAAAACACCAAGACAATCGTATTTCTTAGCCTTCCAAAGTAGAAAATTCAAGATTCAAGTAAGAAGATATATATATATATATATATAAAGAAAAAGAAAAAAAGAACAGTATGTACACAAGCATTAGGTCGATGACCAAACATCTTTAGATATCATATCCACTGCACCAGGTTACACTAAAAAAAATGGTAAAGCCGCTCGTCAAGAATATAACAAATTGGATCTTTTGATTTCTTATATCGTTCCTATTAGAACTTGGACGAGACGGTCTGTGTCATTTTTTCCAAAAACTACTTTCAGATTTCTGTGCTTGACAAGAAACAAGGAACCAGGAGAGGTAGCAATTGTGTCTGTTTTAGCCACCAGAGAAAAATGGCAGCTCTCTACTTTGATGGTGTGTGGAAGAGACTATTGTTGGATGGCTTGTATGTCTAGAAAAAATTTCTAACACAGTGTTTATCACATTTCACGAACCTCTTCATAGATAGAATTGAAAAGGACGCTGGAAATATACCTCTCTCCAAAGCTTGGAAATATGACCTGTAAAAATCAGCAAGTGGATAAATGAGAGGGAGGGAGAGCCGATATTGAATCTAATAGTGAAGAGATTGCCTTGCTAACTAGGAAATTCAGGATAACAAGCTTGAATGTTGAAAATATTGCAACAGATGAGTTTCTGATTGTCCCAACAACATTAAGAACAAACCCAGTGTACAAAGCTCCCGCCATTGCAGGGTTTGGGGAGGGTTAAGATGAACACAGCCTTACCTCCGCATGTGAAAAAGTTGTTTTTGTGTTTCGAACCCGTTGTCTCTAATTCTGATAATTCTGACTCTAATGGTGCTTTTTCACAGATTGCCTTTACTACTCTTACTAACAGTGCTTCTAGTATGTTCATTGGTTCTAAGCTTGCAAAATCAAATTCATCCATCATGTTCCTTTACTTTTAAGTGTGGACTCGAGAAAGAAGACAAGGAACAAGCTAGATCATGAAAGTGAAAATAATCTGCAAAAAGTCTTTTCAAGAATTCTTTGAAGAGACTGAAGTGAAGAAAGTGGACAAGAAGCTTCAAGATAAACTCAAACTTATTGAGGGCAAAAGAAAAGAAACCAGCTGGGTGAGAACTCAAAGAATCTAAAGGCATTCTCTTCTTCAAACCATCACGTGGCTGGTTCTCTACAGACCATTCCTCGAGGTGCACAGTCTATGATCCCTCTATCAGCTTCTTAGCCAGTTACATGCATAAAATATCCAATATCAACTGAGATATAACTTCGGTAATGATTTCAAGGAGATCTTCCTATAATTTGTGTGACAGTGTTGGCCAAAATTAAGCCTAAGTAGAAATAGTTTATTTATTTGTAAGTGTGTGTGTGAGAGAGAAAGAGCAGAATAAGAAATAGAAAGGATAACAAGAGAATAAACCCCATTACTGTAATAAGTTTTCCAGCATTCTCAGGCTTTTCTGCTACCCGTATGGCAGCAACTGCAGCAGCTCCTGAAGATATTCCAACCTACAACATATGCAAATTTGTATTAATACAACTAGGTACAAAGGGTGGATAAAAATCATTCACAAATATCACATAAAATCTAGAAATACTAAATTTATTTTCTACAAAACAACTTCAGCCAAAGTATCAAAACTTAACTGTTAATGGAGAATTACTTTAGACAATAAATAATTTCTGAAAAAACTTCAGACAATATATTGAGGAAACACTTATTAAATGTTCAACATTGAAATAATTGCAAATTACCAGCAAACCTTCCTCCAAAGCCAACCTTCTCGCCATTTCAACAGCTTCATCATTGGTAACCTAAAATTTCCCATATTAACCAACATTCAGATTAAATTGTTCATATAACTATATTAACAAGTGAAAATATTGTGTGCCATAATTAACACACACACCACAAAAAAAAAAAAAAATGCCTGCAGATTAAGAGACACATAAAGTTGGCACAGACAATGTCTTGACCCTTTTGTTCACCCAGGAGAGCACAATAAACTCAATCCACTAGATGACATTAAACAACTTATTGTTGCAAGTGCACTCTCTGTGAGCATTAACTCCAAAGCCAAACGAATCCATTTTAACAGGGGGGGGGGGGGGGGGGGGGGGAAACAATAGATAATCTTTCACATCAGGTTAGAGCAACAGAATGTTAGTTAACACCAGTGTTATCAAAGGCCCAAGAAGCTAGAGGTCCTTTGGAGTCTAGGTGCAAGGTAAGGAGCGCGCCTAAATGAAGCGAGCCGCACAATTGAAATTTAAATTACTATTGAAGCATATTCATAATCCACATTAAAGGATAATCTTTCACAATCACCACCAACTTATAACTAAATTCTATTAAATAAAGTCCACGACAAAAATCTATAACAATGAATTTCATCATCCAAAAGTACTACAAGCACACAATATCCAACTCCATACCCACTACAAGGCAATACTCATTGTAAAAGTATCTCATAACAAAAAATGAGGCATCATAATAAAGTGAGACAAAAAGAAAAAAGGAAAATCTGAAGCATGGGGTCTAAATAGAAGATTTCAAGCACAGGGTATACATTGCCAAAGAACTAGTAGGTGTATTATGGGGGTCTTAATAACAGGCTAAAAAGTTTTGCACCAAGAAAGCTGATGGCTACAGCAAGCTCTTAATGAAGAGACCACTGCCAAATAGACCAAGTAATGCAAAATATTACAGGAGCTCTTATGATGAGAACTCAACTGAATAAAAACGTATAATGACAGATATAAAGAAAAACTATAACAAGTGCACAATAATCTAGAACAGCCTTACTGTATCCAATTATACTTTGTAAGGAAAAACAGATATAAAGAAAAATTACAACAAGTTCACAAGAATCTAGAACCACCTTACTGTATCCAATTCCACCAACTTTGTAAGGAAAATTGAAATGAGGAAGTTTGAATCTTTTTAAGAAATACACCATTCCGCTGCTTAAGATAACTAAAAAAAAAAGAAGCAAAGGGAAGAAAGAAAAAACTAAAAGCTACCTTCAGAACCTCATCAAGCAAGTCAACATCCAAAATGCCTGGCACATAACCTGCATCAATGTCTTATATGTAGTGAGAACAACGTTACCAAAGGTTTCTTGATGACATGGTAAAAGAAAATTGATTCATTAAATATAGTATTAAATACAGTTCCTGCCACCTGGATTTTCTCGTGAGATTACACCCCTTTCTGCAGGTTCTACTCCAACTACCTAAGTATATAAAAACATAATATGATTAAAATCAACATAATGTAATCATTCAAAGAGGTACTAATGCATGAACAGCATTAAAGACGGTCTTCCATTTCATGCATCCAACCAAAGGTGACATATGTAAAAATTACTGAGAAGACAATCGCAACATGATATGAGCTCACAGCACAATGATACAAATGTTTAACAACAAAAGTAGAAAAATTGATGATAGGTAAAGCTCTTAAATTGCATGGTATTGTAGACTGGTAAGCTATAAAAGTGTGGAGATTTAATATGCGTCATTTGCGGAAGTGTTTTCTTGTGGTTACTGAGTATGATGTCATTCCCCTTGTAAATCCAAGAAATAATTCCTAATAAGAAGGAAAAATTAAGTAAACATTTCAAAATTAGCATATAGAACCATCCTTGATGTCCCCACTCATGACAAGAACTAAAGCAAAGGCTACAGGCCGTTTCAGAATTTGCTAGCATCCATTGATACAGTATCCCAAACTCATCCAAAACCATAGAACCCACACTTGTTGCCACTACCAAGCATTAATTTAAATCTTATTGATAAAACATGAATGAGCTTCCTCTCAACAGTGACTATCAACAATACAGTTTGTCACACGAACCAAGCACTCTCTATGAGACTAAGAGTAATGTATTCATAGAAACATGTTTAGTGGTTATTGGACATCTATTACTACAGTAGTTGTTTTCATAATTATGAGTTCAGCTTTAAGAGCAACTTTTGAGTTTGCAGACATGTTCTACATTTTCACTCAAACTATCCAGTGAATATGGTGAGTTAATTGATTCATGCTACAAGAACCCAAAATTTGTACTCGTCCCAAGATATTTAAGATTGAAATGTCTTACAAGAGATATACATTCACATAATACCTGACTGAAGGTTAACATCAACTTTTGAGTTTGCACTTTGCAGACATGTTCTACATTTTCACTCAAACTATCCGGTGTATATGGTGAGTTAATTGATTCATGCTACAAGAACCCAAAATTTGTACTCGTCCCAATATATTTAAGATTGAAATGTCTTAGAAGAGATATACATTCACAATATACCTGACTGAAGGTTAACATCAACTTATAATGCTAATGTTTATAGGAATCCTTACACGAGAATATGAAAGTAGTTTGTAAACAATAATCCAAGAAAAAAGCAAATTCAGATCCTTGCCACATCGCCCACGTATATGTGAAAAATGGCTTCAGCATTTTAATTTTTCTTTTACTATTTTATTTTTGGTGGCTATTGAAGAATGGTTGTGGCTTCAGTTATTATTTAGGGATCTAGGCTGCAGAATTCATCAATCAATAAGTTTATGCTGAGACATTAAGATGACAATTAAGTCAGCTCACAATCTGGTTCCTAGTTAGCCAAAAATAGAATTGTGTTTGAATTTACTCAAACGCTTCATCAACATGAAACCTGCTTCCTATGTTTTTAGTGACCAACAAGCAAGATTCATTATGATGATATCATGAGCAAGTTGAAAATCCATAATATTTAGACAGCAGATTATTGGTGATTGGAACATTGTTAGATTCAATGCTGAAAAGTTGGGAGGTAGAAGGCTTTGGAAATTGGAAGTACTAACAGGAATACCTTATTCTAATACTTGGAATATGAGATTAAGCCAACTAATGAGTCACTGAATCATCCTTTTCTAGTTTATTTAATGTTAGTATCTTTTAAGGTGGTGCACAGACAACCATGCATATCTATATTTTTTAATCCCATTTCTTCATTCTTCCTTCTCTAATACATTGGTTGAATCAAACGCTAAAAATTCTTGGATGCAGAAGATGTAGTCATTTATTATTAACTGCAAGTGAAAAGCTACAGGAAAACATCCAGGAAAACAACTGTAAAATGATTGAGGGACGGTAACAATAGAAATGCAGAAGGCATTTCTTGAGACTGATTTGGGTTAAGGGAGTTGGAAGGAAAGGAAAGCATCGTTAGCTTATCATATGTTTAGTATATCTTTCTCATAAAATATGAAAGGGCTATCACTAGCTTTTCACTTCTTTCCCTTCACTATCCAAACATAAGGAATTAGCACTATCCTTCCATTTCTCTTCTATCTACTAAGTAAAGCTATCCTTTCCTTGCCCCCTACTTATCCAACTGCAGTGGAAAAGTTCAGTATCGTTTTCCAATCTATATTTCTAATATATGCAATGTTTCATTGAACATTAGTGCTCGAACCACTAAGACATGTGGCCTAGTGGTATCTCCTCTCCTTTTAAAGCAGAAGGTGGGGTTCAAGCCTCCCCAAGGGCCTTGTGGAGTTACTTACAAAGGACAAAAAAATTATAAGTGTCAAAAAACAAAAGGGGGGGGGGGGGGGGGGGATGGGATGGGATGAACCATTCATAAATTATCATAGACTGAAACTTAGTATTAGAATTCACTTAGAAATAGCAAAAAGGTATACTAAGAAGTTCCTCATCAAAAGAATAAATCTGACCTTAATATCTTCGTTCATCATTTTCAAGTAACGCCCTGTGCCTGTAACAGTACCACCAGTTCCAATTCCTGCAACAAATATGGCGACACTACCCATGGTATCCTCCCATATTTCTGGGCCAGTGGTTTCGAAGTGGATCTGTAGTTCATGGAGGTAAAATTTTAAAAGAGGAGAAAAAAATTATAAACAATATATTTACGCCCAAGAGCAATTAGTAAATCTAGAGATAACTGAACCAGAAATGACCTTTGAATTAGACATATTATCGAACTGTTTGAACATGTATGCATTTGGTGTGCTTAGAACAATTTCTTCAGCTTTATCAACAGCCCCTTTTATACCTTTCATCGGGTCGGTCAAAACCACCTCTGCTCCAAATGCACGTAAAAGGATCCGCCTTTCAAGATTGATGGATGCAGGCATGGTGACTATAACTTTATATCCCTTGGTTGCCGCCACAAAGGCGATACCAAGTCCAGTATTTCCACTAGTTGGTTCAACCAATACAGTCTGCATAAGGACACAAAACTAATTATTTGGGATATCTAATGATACTAAGGATGTGGCTTTCTTAGACTTCAATGGCTGACCCAACTATTTGGCGAGAAGATTTTTGTACAATAATTAGGGGCAATTGCCTAGTGCAGTAGGAAAATGCCCACGCTATCAAGCATGAGAACACAGGTTCAAATCCTGACAGCAGCCTCTAAGTGCAAATAATGCCAAAGGTTCGATCTGTATCAGATTCACCCCCCCAACACCCACAATTAATATGACTACACAAGGTAGTGACCCTTTTTAATTTTGTACAAAAACAACACGCTGATCTACACACAGAATTTTGTAAGTTACTGCAATCGAAGAATAAAGCTAACCTTTCCAGGAGAAATTGCACCACTTTCTTCAGCATCAGATATCATACCATAACCAATTCTGAAATGTCAATCAATTAAAATAGATGACATTAGTTTAATCATAATGCATCCCGAATTAGCAGACATGAACCATCAAAGCTGCATTAGATGCTATGTGGTGGGGTGAGGCCATCCATTACTCGGAAAATGACAAGCAGCCATATAGATGGGTCATGTCCTGAGTTGAAATACTAAGATGAACCCATTCATCTAAGAGATTGTTTAATCTCAAGCAATGAAAGCGCATATAACATAGGAAGAAGGACGAAAGAAATCACCAAGATCATAGAGAACCACTATGTTCGAAGTAGAAAATTACCTATCCTTGACACTCCGGCAAGGTTCCATGGATTCAAGTTTTGCAGCAACATTTGCCACGCAGCCTTTTGTGACTTTATTGAGATATATCATCGGTGTTCTCCCAATCAACTATACCAATTTGTTACAACTGCTCAAATCAGTTAAATTTTGATGCATAAGCAAACCAACTAAAAGGTAAACCACCATGCTGTGCATAAAAAATACTGTACTTAGAAAATTAGATCCACTTTTACATTATTAACTTTTCCAAAACTACATCAAAATCATGAGCATATTTCTGAAAATGAATTTCAACCAATCAAATCAGAGAAGCTCTGAAGCAGATGAAACGGTTTTTTCCAATAATTAGAAAATAGTATTTCTAAAATGACAGATGGGTTAGGAGATTTCAAAATACATGGGTAGCCAAAAGTGCTCCATCTTTCAAACTTAAAGTTCAGAGTTGAATATCATTTCAATTTCTGCAGAAATTAGCAAAATATACTATTGGTTTTTCTCTTTGAAAAATTAACATAGTCAGGCATCACACCGACCCGATTATTGGAATATAAATATTTATATAACAGACAATTCTGGATTACAATACAAATGTTTCCCAATTAACTAGCATATAGTGTCAATTGAAGTTTTAAAAGAATACCCTTCTCTGCTTAAACAGTCAAAATTTTCACAAACTCATTTCATTTATCGAAATTGAAAATAAGAAAGAAAATAATCAGGGAAAAGAAACAAGAATAACACATTCAAACTGCAAATAGCTAATGAAAATAAAAAAGAAAAGAAAATTCATATCTTTTTCAATTTTTGTTGAATTATTTTCTTGTTTTATAAACTCAATTTCAATCATTCAAATGGGTATACGAAAGAATTTGGATTAATGTATCTAATAAAGAAAATAATTACTTTAGTGGGCGGGTTAAAACCATAGAACAAGAGATGTTCGAACAGTACCTGGGTTACATCTTCGGCTATGTTGACAGTATCGAGCTCTTCACTGGTGGAGGTGGTGGTGGTGGTGGTGGCTGTGGCAGCTTTGGGCATCTCAACGGCGATGGCATGTTTTCTAGCAAAAGATGCATTTTTATACGAGCACAAACGCAGAGTTCCCAACTGTACGAAACGAGCATGTTGATGTTGAGAAGGACTGATTAAGGGTTGAGAAGGAACAAAATGAAGCAGAGGAGATACCGCCATTAGTCTCAAGAAATTTTTGAAAGGCGTTGTATGGATGAGGTGTGTGCTAGTGCTGTACTGAAGTACCAACATAATACCCAAAATGCCCCGACTAATTAATTATTATTATTATTATTATTATTTTTTTTTATTTTTTAAAAAGGGTAAAGAAAACATTCCGTAAATTTAAGCAAATTTCTATTGGCTCTCTCTAGACCATTTTTATTTATTTATTTATTTTTTATGTCAATTCTCCAGACTCTAGCTTATTTTTGAATAATTTCAAATCATTTTATAATTTATATCTATATATATATAAAACACGCATAACACCTATATTTTTACCGGTAATATTATTTTCGATTTGATAAACTATAACAATATGTAATGAAGTGTGACAAGAAAATTATCAATATATATATATATATATATATATATATATATATATATATGTTTTGGATATTAGAATTATATATATATAGATATATAGTTGGTATATTTTAGAAATTGAATTAAAGGGATAGAAAAGTATTTTTATAAATTTTAGGTCAAATTGCAGCTTTAAAAAAGTGACTAAAAATACTCTTCTGCTCTGTCACAAAATAATTCCTATATGCTTTCAAAAGTAAACGATCTTTAGGAGATTGGTCACATTTTTTTTTTTAGGTAAAAAGGTTGGTCACATTTTGAAAGCAAAGAAAATTTTAATACAATTATTCAACCTAAATAGACCGTCTGAAAGGGGTGGAGAGTCCTTCATCGGTCCCGCCTCTACCTTTTGTGTAAAAGGAAAAATTTCCATCACTAACCAAACAAATCTTCTATCAAGTTTCCCACAAATTTTTGGTAAAAAAAAAAAAGAGAGGATATTTTTCCAGCATTTTTCTATTTTTTTTTCCATCCTTTATTTGTGGGTTTCTGTAAGACATTTACCATACAATATAGAGTTAGTTTTAGTGCTTCCAAGCTTCTCATAGCCATTTTTTTTTGACGATTTTGAATTTGTGAGTGCAAGTGCACACAATTTGAGGGCTCATGTTGTATCCCCAAGTGTGACCACATGAAGTCATTTGCATCACGGACAAATTCCAGCAGTGACATGATGATTACGGGGGCAAGATCAATAAATAGCAATTGTTTCTTGCTTTCCAGGCTTGATAATTCTATTTTAATGTCTCGAGGTAAAACTGTGTTTCATCTGGTAATTCCATTATATAGTCAAGGACGACGTCACAAATTATTGTATCGCAAAAATAATAATAATGGTTCAAGTGTCATACAAATATTTTATGACTGTGACAACGACTATTTTATGATTGTCACATCATTAAAATGGTACAAACATACTTAAGCAAAAGTAATTGATTGCATTCATATGAAAATTAGGTGTATGCTAAAAGTAGATGTATCAGAATTTGATCAACTTGAAAAGCGCCGCCATAAGAGGATGACGCTACTAGTTTAAGTTTTATCCCTTTGTGTTGGATATATGAGATCGGACCTAATCATCAATATCATCACCGTCCACAAAACCAGCTCATTATGTGGTACTCAGAATATGTAGAGCAATACAAGAAAACGCATTGGACATCCTGTTTAAAACTTGATAGTAACATGTAGTAAAGGAATTAAAATTTGATTGATGCTCGAGTGTGGAATCATGATCCTTCAATACACAAATTCAAAAGAATAGTTTCTTATAGTTACTTCATCATAACCGGCAGAAAATGTATCTTTCATGAGGTAAAAGAGCATTTTAATTGTGAAAAGCAAGAGAAACATTCGTTTTAAAATCACAATTTCTTTCATAAACTGATTAGCTAGCTACTGACGCATGTGTCGTAAAACACTAGAAAATTTACACGCAATGGAGAACAAATCTAAGTTTCAACTCCCAAGTCTAAATTTGCATTAGCTGAATAGAGAGAGTTCTATATGGTACAAAAAGAATGCCTTGATATTTAATGAAGCAAAACTTTAAATGACATTTCTATGTAAATGCAAGTTGAAGCCGAATCAAGTGATTGTACCAAAGTTTCTTGCGGAGCATGCTTCAAAGCTTCACCAAGTGTGCCTCAGCCAGTGAAGAATTAAGGTCTTCCCGAGATTGTGATCTCCTACTTTGAAGACGCATCTGACTTCTGTGAGGTGACCAAAAGGAACCCATGCTATTATTCTCAAATTGCATCTGCCCCAAGCTACCTGAGGAATAACTATGTGAAACGCTGCTAGTTGATGGGAATAAAGACGACTCTGCGAGCTGAATGCCACTGCTACTGAAACCATTTCCTATGCTAATTGTTCTCTGCTGGGCACCTGCAACTGTTGGACTCAGTGGCATCTTAACTCTTCCATCCCCTAAGACACCAGAAATAAACATTGCCTAAAAAAGTTTGCAACAAAATAATCACATAAAATAATAGTAATATTAATAATCAGGACAAAACAATACTGTACATGACAAGAAATTATCATCATTGCTTTGAGTTTGATTTACAAAATTTTTTTAAAAAAGAAGGCTTTTGATCATGCAATAGAATATTGAAGGGGAGGAGCAAGAAAAAAGAAAACAAATGCACACAACTTAAATAAGAAAAGATGTGTTTCAGAAGTCAAAAATATATGATGGAGGGGGTATACTATATTCTACATGAGATTGGCATAGATAGGAATCCCAGTGTCCGATTATCCAGCCTGGCCAATTTAACTTTGTCCTCACTAGTTATACCCCCAATCACCGGAGAAGCTTCTTCTAGCAGCGCTAATCAAGCTCTCAGAGTTAACAAAGAAAGTTGTTTGAGTCATATAAACATGACATGTAAGGTCCTTCTATTTAAATTATAAAAAACTTAGTTGGTTTCTAAATGTCTTGGGGAAGATATATACCATAGATTCTGGAATAACTTCTCAAGTGACTTGTCCCTATTAGTATTAAGCAGAAGCTGGCTCTTAAATTAACAGCAGTCCATAATTCTGTGCACATGAAATGAAAAAAATATATATATATATTGAGCCATCAATATAAATTAAATCGGATAGGATAAGGTGACTGTTGATTTTAGCTTCATATTCATGCCCAACAAAATGGGGTAATCCACTACTCTAGAGTCTAGACATGCACAAGGATCATAGATAATAAACAATCTAGCATCCAGGTGTGGCAGTCATTAATGGTATTTAGTTTGTTTATATAATAAGTATGGTACAATTTGACTGGTATTTAGTTTGTTTATATAGTAAGCATAGTACAGTCCATATGATATCTCTTGGTTTTCTAGTATGAAAATTCTTCTGCAAGAAGAATCTTGGAAAGTTCAACTGTGATCATTTTTCCATTTGGGTAATGTGCAAACATGTAAAAATAAATGTTCCATGAACTTTCAAGAATGTGCAGATGTCACGGGCACTGTAGAAGAGTTTACCTGAGCTTACAGGACTCCAACGCTGAAAACGGAAAGGGGATGAAATATTAAGAACAGATGTGGTTGAGGCATTGTCATGCTTGAAAAGGGGAAGAAGATATGGGCCGCAGAAAAATCTTGGCATCGACTTGCCAACACACGATAATGCATACACTAGGAACAACAACGAAACAAACAAGATGGCAGAAAGAACAACTGGGTGTATCTTCATCCGGAGTATTTCGTAACTCTGAAGCTCCATTCTAGTTGACAATGCCTTCCCAGCTTCCAACAGAACAACCCCAAGTGTCCAAGTAATACTTCCAGAACCAACAATAACTTGGCTATCTGTAATGTGCAAGCCTTCTCTCAATAGAAACACTATGTATGGTGCCCTAAAGCAGTACTGCTCTATGAAGGGCTGAGGAACAACGCTATTCTTCGCAATATCCCAAGATTTTTCACAGAATTCCTGACCCTTTTCCAACACATCATCAAGTGTCGCATCGGAAGTCAAGTTGAAAAATCGATACACCACAAAAAACCCAGACATTGCATAGAACTGACCATAAGGACGGGGTTCATTACCTCCAAGAGCACAAGGTTGCAACTCACAATCAAGTCCTGGACTTAAACCTGACCATTCAGACAAATTGACAGTGACTTTTGCAAGTGCACTGCATTCTTCCCATTTTGGAGCACCAATAAGCTTTACTGGAATTCCACGTTTCCCTCCTTTAACCAAATTTTTTCCACCTTTCAGAGGACTCTCACCTTCTTGGTAAATAGAAGCACACTGAGAACAGATGTATCGCTCTTTATAACCAGACTGCAAGCAAGGATGGTTAATTTCAATGTTCCCACTAGCTAAATCTGCATTAGTAATATCAGGAAGCCTCTTGACAAGATGAACCACAGACTTGTCAAAAGCATCATTCAGCCCATAACCTGAAAGAGAATAGGCACTGAGATGATGGTTAACGTGACCAATACTAAGCTTTAAGCTAGTATCATTATGCTCATGTTCCTTGCTCTCAAAAGTAACCTGCAACGATGAGCCACCCAAGTCAAGTGCACCAAATGTTGCTTTTTTTGGTGGAGCTGCCAAAACACCAGTGTGATAATTTAAAGCTAGCCATCCAAAATATGCTTCCTCCATGCCACTGATAATCTTAACCCACTCTCTATGGCACACAAAGGTTGAACTCTTAAGAATGGACCATGCATTCTTAAGAAGCCATTCTGAATCTGAACTAGGCAGCCTTCGAACCCCAGCAGTAGCGTAAAGGAAGACTGAAGTAGTCTTATGTGCATGCTTGGGAATTTGCTTCTGTGCCCATTGAAGAAGTGGGTTTATTGCTCCCTTCAAACCAGTTACATTGTGCACTAATTTGTCAAACCCAGGCTCAGTCTCCATTCGATTATAAGCACGCCCACCCTGTGAACTACGCTTTCTCTGAAGACCTTCTTCTGGCAATGATGTCAATAAAATAGGAAGACTGCCATCTTTATTGTGATTAACAGATGCCTGATATACATAAACCCGAGTTCCAGTGCTACCACAATCAAGTACAACATAGAACCTGGATGCCCCTTGAGACCAGTTAGAAATCAAAAACTTTACTGTATATATAAATAAAGAAAGCATCAATAAGCACAGGAGAACCATGATCACTCGCACCCAATTCTTTTGCACAAAAGGGATTGTTGGTGATGCTTTCTCCTTGGAAAAACTTGACACGGCATTTTCTCTCTGTAGGAAATGAGACTGTTTTGCATGATTAAAACTGTTATCAATTCCACGATTAAGATTGCCTTCTTCTGGATCAAGCTGGCGATATGCAGAGAAATCTTGAAGGGATGAGGAGAGTCGCAAATTATTCTTCTGCCCGGAACTAGTGAAACTAAAACCATGACCAGAACCTCCTGGAGGCATCATAATGGATGATACATGTGGAACAACAGAAGGCTTTGGGGATGACAAATGATTTACAGCAGTAGACACAAACTCTGAAAATCTACTAAGCACCGAATTTGAAACTGGTGTGCAAATTAAAATACATCCCCAGGTTTCTGATGGTTAAATTGCCGAGACTCGTGCCCCCACTTTACATGGTATAGTTGAGATTACACAACAACTAAAGTATATAGTGATCCACTTGTCTGCGCATTGAGTGCACAGAAATGGTGGCAGATACCAGGATTTAGGGTTTCATGAGTCCTGCAGAAACCAGATCGTGATAACTAGTTAGTCACCTAATACAAAACAACTGCAGTCAAGTAAACAGACTGAAATATAAGGTCATCAAACTCGCGAAACCCGAAGTACAGTCATTTTAGACTCCTGAAGGCTGAAAAAGAAGTTATCTTGCCTAGAAACATTTAGCAAGCAATAACATTATTCAAAATAAGCATAAAAGATGGATATTTCTGTGCAAGATTCAATTTTGATAGTTGTAGTCAAATATGCCCCTAGTCCAGTTTTCAGGAATTTTCATACCAAGTTTATATGGATTAACCTTCTTCTTCTTCATCTTTTTTTCTTTTTTTGTCAATCATCCATACAATTTCAGCTTGTTTCTTGACTTGTCAAACAAATTTTCTTACTTGTTATATGTAACTGCTGTGGAAGTTCAGATTTGATATAGTGTTCTTGAGGATGGATGAAGCTTCCAACAAGACCAAGAGGAAATTCTTTGGCATAGGCGTGTGATGCCAGAGCATCCCTTGCTAAAGCCCATTCAAATTTCAAACTGGAAGTAATCAGACTAAGTTTTTCAGGAAGTGCATATGATTTTGGCCAAACTTGATGGTCCTGTAAAACTCAATTGGGAAGGAATTAGATGGTGAGCCATATATGTTTGGAAATCTCTACGAGTCTACTTTCTAAGAGAAAAACGGTGCTCAGTTTGAAACTTCCCAGAGTGACTTATGGCTGTTTTAGTAAAAGATTTTTTGCTGACCGCGAAATCTGGACTGAGGAATTACATAGCTAGCTGGAGCAGCTCATTTCTCTTCTTGGTTCCAACACCTTTTGGCTTTTGATCAGTTTCCTTAGTTCCATGCCAACTCTATTTAAGCCTTACTTATGTACCGGAATGTAACCTTTGACAACATTGAATGGTATTTGAGCATTTGGCTTCTAAAGAAGAAGTTATTCTTGTTATACTTACTCTTATCCATTGGGTGGACACTTTTGGGGGAGAGCTATCCTATCCCTCAGGTGTTCCACTTGTGTTTCTCCTATCTCTCCGTCTTTCGTGTCACTGGCCAAGTGGAATCTGATAGTTCTGCATTCAGGGTTTAATATGACGGGGAAGCAAGTAATGAAGTTCTAGATTGTGATAACTTTCTTTGGCTAGAAGGAAGGACTGGCACCCTAAGCTCTCACATGTCAAAGTTCTTTTGGTGCTCACAGACCCAAATGCCCTTTCCTACTAGATGTCAAAATGGTCCCCCTGAGCCTAGGTCCTACAATGAGATCCGCCCCCTTAGAACGCAACGAGCCGCTGGATTTTATCCAACCTAGCTCCTACAGTGGATTCAAGCCATTGCAATAGCCCCAAAGTCTATTATTCACATGAATGGCGTTATCCAACCTAGGTAGCACAACGAGTTAGCTTTCAAAGAAAACTTTCCAATGCAATGAAATCCTTTTCCAACCTAGGTAGCACAACGAGTTAGGGTTCGAATAAAACCTTCCAATGGAATGAAATCCAAAATAAGAATGCCACCTTAGAAGGAGCTTTATGTGCCAGATGCTTTTCTAAGTAAGGCATTTCAACTTTTACCAAAACCTAACATGATTCTAGTTCAAACTTTCCTACTCTTGGAAGGCCCCAGCTGCAATGCATCACCCACCAACTCTACCAAGGCTGGCCTCATACAACTACTCAAAACAAAGAAGCACATTGAAGGTATCTCAGCTGCTCCACCTCAATTGTATAAAATATAATTGCGCTGTCAGCATATGAAAGATGAGACCTAAAGCCCAAAATGTTCAATCCTGCCTACTTGGAAACCCCTTCACCATGTCCCCCTCCACTACTTAGCCAGCGTCCTAGTAAAGACCTTCCCCATCACTATATAGAGAGAGGACCCCCTTGGCAAAGAACCTCTGGCTAAAATTGAAACTAAATCAGTGAAACTCCAAAACCCATCCATTATATATCATAGAATAATTCCCCCAATTGGTTCCTAACTAATTACTGCACACACACACACACATATACATATATGAACGCACGCGCACACACATGCTGATGAAAACATTTTGAAAATCAGAAGCTATCTCCTCTTCCACAGCTTTTTCTATGGCAGTGATGGGCATTAATGAATATCAGTAATGAATTGAACAAGAAGGAAATTCAATGAAAAGGGGAAAAAATGTAGAAAAATAAATTATAATAAAATAATTGGTAAAGAAAATAAGTTGAAAGAAATAAAACAACTGACCTTGAATGGTGAAGAACAAGAAGAGAATTTTTGGTTGGAGAGAAGACGGATCTGATCGAAGAGGACGAGTGATCTGAGAGACTTAACGTGTGTGGGAGAGAAACAGGGGAGAGAGATCTGAGCTTTTTTTGTTTAGTTGGTGAGAGTACTTAAAAATAAAAATAATAATAATAATAAATCAATTATAGAAAAACAATAAACTCTACAGGCGTTTGGCTTCTGTTATTTTTGTTTTTAGACCGTTATAGTGTCGATTTTAATAACACAAACATATTTGGTGCTGTCTTCTTTTATTTTTCATAATACTTAAAAATTTCGTGAACAATGATCCAAAATCAAAATACTAAAAAATTATCTTTTTATTTTGATAAATTCATGGCCCAAAATCATAAAAGTTGTTTTTTTTTTTTTTCTTTTGTTTTCGACAATTCGACAACAAAACATTATTGCTAAATGTTCGATTTTAACATGTTGCCTAAAACAAAACTCATGCCACAGTCCTAAGTATCTAAACTACGAGTATATGTGTTTAATTAATTACTTTTAAAAGTGCCAAATTAGTGAGCGCTGTGTTATACTTAGTTGAGAGCTCACTAACGAAAAAATAGCAATTGCCGGGATCGTGTTGCAACTTCCATGTCGGACTTGTGTTAATTTGGCGACTCCCTTAGGCTTCTTAAACCATTTTTGTTTTTTTTAAGTAATTGTTTGATGGAAGTGAGATAGAAATTGTATATATCTTATTATAGATTAATCTTTTTCCAGATTGATAGAAATTTTATTTGATCATGAATATGTAAAATTTTATGTTTGTATTGTGACGTGAAGATATATGTTAAGAGAAAATTTTAAATGAATCGGTTGTTGGGCGGAACTAGAATTTCAACCAAGGGGCATGGTGAAATAATAATAATAATAATAATATATTAATAAGTATATATAATTATTATTTTACTCAATTATTAATTATAAGTGTTCGAGACAAGGGGATAAACAAATATAAAAAAAATTAGGGGTATTCTTGATTCATTGAGAACAATTTTCTTATTTTTAAAACAGAAAATTGTAAAAAAAAAAAATTAGTTAGTTGATAATTTCTAAAAAAAAATATGCAAGTTCAATTAAAAGAATATTTGTTTTTAAATAACTAAGTTTTTTTAGGAGTGAAAACCGAACAAACCTAATTTTTATTTAGACGTATTTTCACAACCACTAAAAAAAGTCATCTTACTTAACCAACGTTGTAATTAATATCCTAATTACTCTTTTAAAGTTGAAGATTGAAAGTCGAATTGAGAAAAATTACGGAAAATAAGAAAGAATCCAAATATTCTAGAAAATACTCACCATAAACGGGGTCCACAAAATAGCACACAGAAAAGTCGCTTTCTCAGTTCACTTGTGTATCTCCTCTGCTTTCCCTCCCTCTCAGCCGGATCGGCCGGCCATTGTTTCTCTTATGCACATCAACCGGAGATCGGACACACTCTCTCTCTCCCCCACGCTGAATACCTAAAAATGTTAGAGGTAATAGACTTCTACTTCAAGTTCATCTTTCTCTTTATTCTTTAAATTTTCGAATATAAAATCAACCTCCACTCGTGATTTTCTATATATATATATTTCATTTGTTGTGACATTTTTCACTTGTTTTTTCTTTATTTCTTTTGAGTATGAAAATGCATAAATCAACTACTCTTTAACGTCCGTGTTTCTTTCCCCTTCATTTTGTGACTGACTTTGTGTGATTATGCCTGCTACTTCTCTATTATATGGGTGTATCATATATATATATATATAATATTGATTCTGAAATTACTATGTTTTAGACCCTTTAATGAAGACTCTATTATCACTTTCCAAATCATTTTAGTAGCTAAGTTGATGCTTTGTTTTGCTCTTATACTAATTAGTTAATTAGAGAACAGAAAAATTGGGACTTTCAACTTTCACTACAACTGAAACATTGATAAACACTCAAATGACAGTTATTTACTTATTTTATAGGGGAAATCCTATGTTCTGCCATTCATTTTAAACATACACCTATTGCTGGAGGTTTATTTTGTCTTTATGTTTTACATGTTTAAGTGATATGATTTTTCTTAGTTGGAAATATTATGGTTTTAGTATTTTTTGTTGGATTGCTTTTGGCTCACTTGACCATCACTACCCACTACCCTCTGCACTTCCCAACATACACTACTACCATCGGTCTGCTCCAACACTAGATTAACTTGAATATTTTATTTGTTCATATTCTTTTGCGTTAGCTGCCCTATTACTCCATGTTACACCAGTTGTTTTTTTTCTTTTTCTTGCAACTATAACTTAATTCTGTTTCTGACATCCACTTAGGATTGGATGCCATACCAATTGTTCACAAAAAGATTATAAACCTCAGTGACTTGTCTGATTTTGATAATTATTTTGTACCTCTTAATGTAATGATGTTTTCTTTTTCCCCTATATAAGAAACTCACACACCCACTTTACCCCAATGGGGACTTGAACCCTCGACCTTCTACTTTAGAAGGTGAAGAAGTATTAGGCTACAGCCCTTGGTGGTTGTTGTAATGATGTTGACTTACCATGTATTTGGTATTAATTCAGGAACTTGGGAAACAATTTCATTTTTGGAGTGGTTATGGAGCGGAAGCATAGTGTTATGGGTTATCCTTTTTTGGATATAAAGGTGGAAAAAATGGAGGCTACAAAAGCAAAACTGAATAGCTGAAGGAAGCACAAACAATTTTTAATATCAAGATGCTTCTACCCCACAAATCTGTACCTGACTCAGTCACTCATTCAAGATTCAACACCAAACATGCATGTGCTCCTATAACACAACTTTGCAGGCACTCCTCCTCCCACACCTTAACACTTAATAAGCCTACTCTTATCACACTCTCCAATCCCTCCAACTGCCATTTAAACCTCATTACTAGGTGCAGACACCGTGACACCTTAGCCGTTCCCATCACTTCAGATGATAATGATGATTGTAACTTAAACGAATCTCAGAAGCCTCAACTAGTCCGAGAAGAAACTCAAGAAAAGAGTTTCTGGGGTGCTGTTAGTTTGATCATTGGAACAGCTGTAGGGCCAGGAATGCTCGGCTTACCTGCTGCAACAATGAAATCCGGCCCACTTCCATCAGTGATTGCCATCCTTGTCTCTTGGATTTATGTTATCTCCTCAATCATACTTGTTGCAGAGCTCAGCTTTGCAGCCATGGAAGAAGATGATGTTTCTGAAGTGAGCTTCACTGGCCTCGCAACAAAGGCAGTGGGAAGTCATGTCGGTGCTTTCGTTGCTATAGTCTATGCTTCCCTGAGTTTTTCTTTGTTGGTGGCTTGTGTCGCAGGGATCGGTTCTATAGTCTCTCAGTTGTTTCCATGGGTAAATCCTTTAATAGCTCATGCCTTGTTGCCTTCTGTTGTTGGAATTATACTGTGGTTCTTTCCGTTTAAGATCATTGATGCTGCCAACAGGTTTCTGTGCTTCATCATGCTTTTCTCGATCACGGCACTAGTTGTTATCGGTTTGTCTGTTGCAAGAAGCAACTTACTATATTCCTTTACCCACGCTGCGTGGGATCTTTCCTCAATCTTGCCTGCCATACCTGTTACTGTACTCACTTTGGGGTTCCATGTGATCACCCCTTTTATTTGTAGGATTGCTGGGAACACTGTAGATGAGGCTCGGAAAGCAATACTGTTTGGTGGGTTTGTTCCATTAGTTATGGTTTTATCTTGGAATTTGATTGTTTTGGGGCTTGCTGGGACTGAATCAGCCTCACCCTCTAAAGATCCTATCTCCCTCTTGCTTTCTGTTAATTCCTTAGCTTTACCAGCTGTTCAAGGTTTTGCATTTTCAGCTTTGGCAACTAGCTTGATTGGCTACGCTGTTAGCTTCCCAAAACAGGTTTTAGATACCTTGGAACTAATCTTTGGAATATCCGACCAGAAGGTTGGAGTGGGAAAAGTTGGATGTCTTGGTTATTCAGGTGTACATGATCTTGGAAAAGTGGGGAAGGTTTCATATACTAAATCCATATGTACTGCTGCCTTGGAAGTTAAGTTGGTATCTGCTTCTCATAGAATTGTGATGCCACTTGTACTTGGTGTTGCGGTCCTTATAGCATCTTTTTGTCGCTCAACTTTCTCAAGAGCTCTTGACTTTGCTGGAACGTATGCAAACTGCTTTCTGTTTGGCATCCTTCCTCCGATAATGGCATACATTTATCAGTTCAGAAAGAAACAGAGGTTTGTCAATCTATCCAAACTCCAATTACTTTACCAAGGAAAATAGAAGAGAATGACAGATCTTTAGCGTCACAATTATCTCGAATTAATTATTTATATTCAGTATTTACATATTTACTTCCCCAACATGTTTGAAAATCATTTAACTCTATAAGTTGTTGGATTCTAAATTGATTGTATTTAATATTGTGCATTAGTTGCTGTGATTTTTTTTTTTTTTTTGATTATCATGCGGAGGAATTCTTTTTCTATACCCTTTTTTTTTTCCCTGATGTTTGTTGTATGAAGACCTTTGAGTTCATCAATTTCTTGAGCTCCTCGTGAAGCTGAATTGATGTATTTTCATATTCCACAATACAGTAAGGAGTCTAAATTCACTTTTCTTTCCTTGAAGTGGACATAAATACTGTATTGCAAATGTTATTTTCCAGCATGCTTCATTAAGAGGAGATCAAACTTGGTGACTTAGACAGAACTAATACTTCAAAAAAAGAAAGAAAACTGGTTCATTTGCATGACAGTCTAATGTATTACTGATTTTTTTGATGAACTACCTATGCCATTAAGTAGTTTCTTCTTCACATGATAAGTTTATTCACCACTTATGAAATCACTTTAGTTAACTTTTCAGAAACATTTGGCAGAAAATCGTATCTGATCTATATATTTGTATTCTGTAGGTCATCCATCTTGCCAGGGGGAGAGGTTACACTTCTTGTTCTATTCGTTGTCGCTGTCATATTATTTATTTGGCATTAAATAGCTGGCAGCAAGATCCAGCAGAAATATATTTTTCATTTCTGGACAAGGGTCGCATCCATGTATCTTTTCCATTTTTTAAGGTAATTAGTGAATGAATCGATTCATTTTCTACTCATACTTTGATTTCAGGTGACTGATTTTTTTTTTCTTCTGAAATTAAAGGAGTGATGTTTCTAACCTTAAACATGTTTATGATTATTCTTGAACCCTCACGAGGAATTTGCTTTTATGATGTTTGAGGCTTAGTGCAGTGGAATATGTGTAATTTATTTTCTTTCTCGTATCTGATTGCAATCAGTTGTGAGATAAGATAGTAGAAAGTTACAAATGAAGCAGTGTGGAAAAGTTGTTTGGAGTTGCAAATGCACAACTGACTTGACGCAGAGGGAGTTTTCGGCACAACTCACACTGCACAAGCAATTATTATAATGGTATCCGTGCGGCAAGAGGAAATCGGTTAAGTTCACCCTGGACTTGTTACGGTTACAAGGATACATGAATGTATTTGTATGATGAGAGTACTATGTAAAGGAGACGAATGATTTTTTATATAATTTGTTTCTTCTTGAAGCATAGTCTTATCAGTTGTTTAGCCACTGGGTAATCTGAACATCTTTTGAAAGGTTGGTGGTAGTATCACCTCATTTGAGTACATGCTTTAACTGTGTAGGCTTGGCTGCCAGATAACAAGTTGTGGTTAATACTTTGTCAATGGCAGTAAATGCCTCATCCCCATGATGTAGATTGTCTTATAGTCTTCATTCTAGTTTCTTACATACAATGACATATATATATATATATATATATAAAAGTTGGGTAAAAAAAAAAAATTGGGTAACCGAAAAGTCAAATGGTAAAGAAGGGCTAGGTAAAAATTGGGTCGTTGATCAAAATCATCCGGAAGCAAATAGTACCAAATTTTAAACTTCCCCCATATCATTGGAGAGCATTTTGATCCCCTCTTGTTACTCACACACACACAGTTACTGGCGATATCAGTGATATATATAAATATGTATATATATACCAGTAACTGTGTGTGTGTGAGTAACAAGAGGGGATCAAAATGCTCTCCAATGATATTTATATATATCACTGATATCGCCAGTAACTCTGTGTGTGTGAGTAACAAGAGGGGATCAAAATGCTCTCCAATGATATGGGGTCAGTTTAAAATTTGTTACTATTTGCTTCCGGATGATTTTGATCAACGACCCAATTTTTACCTAGCCCTTCTTTACCATTTGACTTTTCGGTTACCCAATTTTTTTTTTTTACCCAACTTTTCTTATGTAAATTTGTTATGATTTCTTATCTCTCTATGGTTGCGTGAGACTTTCATTGAGGTAAAGTCTCTCCTGAGAACAGGGTCTCCATACATACCACATGATGAAGTTTGTTTGGATAATTCAACATAAACAGTGTTAGTATTTTGTAGACTACAGAATATTGGAAACATTCATTCAATATAAGTGTCACTGGTGTTAAATCAATTCATAATAGTCGTTGTGTGAAACATCAAAGATTAAGTCGGTCTCTAGTTTTGTCTTTCCAGAAATCTGCAACCAAAATTGGGTAATGTCCAGTACTCGCAGTTATGGCTAAAGAATCACCAGAACTTGGGCATGTGGAACAAAAAATTAGATTCAACACCTACAATAACAAAAATGAAAACTCTTTACCCCAAAAAAACAAGAACAAGAACAATGACGACGGTTGTCCAACGAAAAATAAAATTAAATCTTCAAGAAAACAAAGCCTCTATAATCAAAGATGAAAGATTGAAGTCACCAAGGGTCATATTCCTCTTAAGGAAACTTCAAAATATATATATATATATATATATATCAACAAGCTATTGTATCAAAATTTGATTCCCAAATCATAACAAAAATGGGAAAGGGTAAAGCAAGGCCTCGTAGACCAGATAAAAATCTGGAGAGATCGTACGCACTTGAGAAACAAATTAACAGCTGCTTTCATCTTGGAGAGGCCGGCCAGGCTCTTTTTTATACAAGAAGTCGGGTCGGTTTGGTGGAGGCCGTAGAAAGGCAGGGCATAAACACATTTCTGACACAATTGGACCTCTGATGCTGGTAAGAATTGCCCTGTGACATTACAGAAAAACAAGGAAAAACAGTTGAACTTTACAATTATAAATGACAAATAGAAATACGGATGCATTATAAATCTCTTTCCAAATCAATGCATTTCCAGGGAGTAAATAAGTGTTTCCTCCTTAGAAATACCGATGCATTATAAAATCAACTGATTTTCTTACCAAATCAATGCATTTCCAGCGCAGGGAGTAGAAGAACAAAAGTGTTTCCAGACCGTCGACACGATCTTGTCTTGTCAACAGATATTTCTATCATTTGTAACATCGCAGCACATATATATTTTATCGTGCCACATACATATCAAATATCACTTTCATCAATGAAAACTGACGATTTTTAAGAGAGATACCTTGAGAAGCATGCTGTTTTGTCATCATCTAGACGTTAGTGGAGTGCTCATGCTTAGCATCACGATCTTGCACTGTTCGATAGTTGTAATAGATGAATTGAACGATTATCTGGACATCTATTAAGGCTTTACACAGAATAAGGAAATATAGTTTTTCTAGGACCATAGCATCTTGGCTCACACTCAAGTGTGCCAGCAAATAATACTAAATTAAAACTGAGGTCCAAATATCTTACTCTTCAAGTACTCCACATAGCCATTGCTTTCCGCATTGACAATTTATCTGAACCCTCAGAGAGAAAATCCAACCCTCCCCCTACTGTTTCAGATAATTAGAACATAATTACTGCACAATGATACATATACAAGGATACAAAAGCATCTAGAAGCACGCATCCTCCTGCATCTACCAGCCACGGTAGATTTGGTCTAATTTTCAACCACTCCAAGCTGCTCACAAGTATGCTACACAAAAAGAAACATTTTCTGATGTAATTTGACCATAAATCTTGATGACGCAACCTTCCGCCAAGAAAAAACGAAGATACGAAGCTTCAGAAGTACAAAGAAATTTGATATTTTCATACTTCCCCAAAGAGATGAAATGTAACAGTCACTCTAAAAATATGGAAACACTATAAAATGTGAATAAATGAGGCTCATGACTGAAAATTAAAAAAAATAAAATGTGATTGATTATATTCACCTTGCTACATATGTGGCATTTCCAACCAATGCAAAGACGAACAACAATGGATTAAGCCCCTGAATGTCACAGAAGAAAATATCCATCAATTTGTTGATGTCGATGAGCAGATACATGCTACATGCTAATCTTGTCAGGCTCTCCCATGTAAAAAAACAATTTAGAAAAGAGGCAATAAACAACAAAAATTTTACCCTCCAAATAGACTTTAAGGAAATAAATAAAGTACCCCAGGAATACATGAGAAACTGCTTACCTCAACGTTGCCCCTTCTAAACTGCAAAAATTAAGAATTAATTGTGTGTTAGGTTCAATCATACAGATCTTATACCAGATAATTAGCATGAAAATGACCAATTCAATTTAAAACAAACCATCACAGAGAAAATGAAGTTTTAGAACAATTCCTAAGGAATCCAATATCTGCATTAAAATATCCCAATTATGCAATAGCCAATGAAGAAGGTAATCGTTCTTCTAGTATTAATTTACATATCTTAGATTCTGCAAATATACACAGTGTCTGTTTGTACTGATTTGTTTTTCTATTAACTGAACTTGTTTCACGAGCAAGCCTTTCCAAAAATTTCAAATATGTGCAATCCCAGATTGCATCAATTCCTTAGCTGTGGTGAAAACAAGGAGAATTTTCTGTGGGAATAGATAAAATATGCGGACATAAATGAATAAATCTGCTTAACAAGGTAATTCTCACATTTAAGCAAATTTGGGGAAGACGCCCACCCACGTAGATAATTGCCATTCCCCAGCCAAGGACAGACCCGATACCACCGATCCCTGTGCCCCTTGTCTCTTGCAATAAGCCATCTTTTACCTGCAATTCCAATCACATTAATCCTGAAGATATTGATTTTTTTTTTTTTCCTAGTTGGGACTCACACACACTGCCTCCACTGAGGTTTGAACCCCTGACCTCCCTTTGGGAAGTAGGAGCCTTATACTGCTAGGCCATAGGCCTGTTGGTCTGAAGATATTGATGCTTTGACTCTCTAAAATTTCCACATTCACTTAATTTTGCAATGAAAATTGCATAGGACAAAAGTCTTAATCAGCTAGAATCCAAGAGCTAGTGACAGTTTACAAAGCTGATACTTGTGCATTCACAAGCCACTTAACTTGCTTAACTCCATATTTTAACCTCGTTCAAGGTTAAAATATTTCCCAACTCATCCATCCAAATGACATGCCGATAATTGGAATTGGTCATAGCCAAATTACAACATAGCTTGATAATCCAATGGAAGTAAGTCACAGAAATTAATAAATTTTACCTGTCAAAAGGAAAATCTCATAGGGGATACTACTGAACTTAAAAAGTGTTGAACATATGTTGAGGACAAAATAAACCAACTTAATAATTATCAACATATGTAATGAAAACCACACATTCCGACCTGAAGCAATATTGATTCACAATTACAGAATTGGAGGAATCAATTTGCAGCTTTCTCTACCTGTAAAAGTTTTCTTCCCACTTGCATCACAACTCCTTGATTTGGATTTTTTAAAACCAAACTACTAAGCCTTCTGCTATCGGTTTGATGGAGATTAAAAGAACCAAGGAAGAATGTCATAGCAGAGACCTGAAATAAAAGTAACACAAAAATAAATTTTCAAACAACTGAAACAGAATGATAGTTCTGACAGTATTAAAATTATTAGAGGTAGCTCCAAGCTCACCGCACATAGCATGGTTTTAGTGCTTGAAGGAGGTGCAGACTGTTTTGATGATAAATGTTCACCAAGCAAGGGCTCTTCAATGGAATTCCTACAAACAGAGTTCGGAGTTCTCTGCGCCAGAAAAACTCCTGCTGTAGGAGTATAACTCCTTGATAGATATCTTGCTGACCTGATGAATCCACAACAAATACTTTCTACATTAAAAGTCATATTCGAACTAAGAAAACTTAAAAGACATATGCCTAACTTGTTGTCAATGCCAAAAAGAACATCTTTAATTTGTCTGTGCCAAATCCAAAATTCACAGCCGGTAGGAAATCATCAACAAAAACAATCAGAGGTTCTATTGACCTATTAATTTGTAAAAAGTGATCAGAATAAAACATAGATATGAACTTCAAGGGAGTAATCAATTACATGTAGTATGATTCACTTTTAGGAGGGCTATTATCAGAAAGGACTGGAAGAGGAATTGATGAACTCCGGACAACCCCTGATGAAAAATTGTTGGTTCCATGTCCCTGTCTGTCTGCATTGCTGAGTTTTTTATTGCAGACACCATTATTACATTCTCCTGTCTTTCCTACTGCTTCAGTCTGGATGGAGTTGAGATCCTACATGCAGATACAAGCACCAAAAGTAAATAATGAATAAAGTTCCCAAAAAGAAAAAAGTACTTGATGTGCAAATTGGAAATTCAAATAGAACTTGAATATACTGAATGCACCCATCACAAGTTGACAAAGTTCTGTCCTTTCATATGGCTGGCCACTTAACTGCCGAATAGGTTAAGACAGCAATGTGGCTCAAATATGTTTTAAGACCAAATCTAAATGATATAAAATTTTGAAAATATATTTTCCACAGTTAAGTGGCCAGTAGTATTTTCCACAGCAATGTGGCTCCATTCTTTATCTCTTCTCATATCTTTCTCTCTTTAAACCTTTTTCTTTCTTCTCTTCCTCTCTCTTCTTTTCCCTCATCGTTTATTATCTTAAGAGCACTAGTGTAAGTTACATATTGTATGAAAATTTATATTTAGTATTATAAATGGTTAGATCCCAAATTCAATTCATTTGCTGCCTAACTCAGGATATCACAAAAATAACTAAAGCTTTGACAGTTTCACCACTCATAACTACCTTAACTTCTCTACAAGTACCTTTAATTCCAAGAAGGGGAACTTTTGATACTAGAAAAATATGGACCGTTATCTGGAAAAATACTGTTCGGAAATATTAAGGAAAAACAAAGTAAAAAATTCCAACCTTTTGGCATCGTCCATTGGATTTCAGTCGGTGATAGATGTGACCATAGTATATGGTCTGTGCAGTAAGAATCAAGGTAGTCACCGTAAATAACTGCAAATGACCATGATAGGAATGTTGTTTATCAACCAGTCAGTTGAGAAACAAAATGGACAACTTTAAATCAAATCTGAATATAAATGCTAAATTAGCAAAGAGCTTTAAACATCATAAAGCATTCTTACCATTGCCATATAATATTGTGTCGGGAGCTGAAAAGACAAGAAATAATTGTCAATGCACTGCAAAATATTCTCTGAACCGAAAAGGAGCAACAACTTATAACAATACAGGTAATATACAAAAACATCATTTTCTAAGTCATTTAGTACACTGGCTACACAGCATTGTGAACATGGTTAGAGCATCATATTTTAAAATCAATAAGACAATTAAACTGCTTGTATTATTACCATTAGATTACATTCAATCGAATGTGCTAGGTCATCCCAGTAAGGAAAGTATCATTCATGGTAATTAAAGGCTCATGGCACACTAAGGCACCGAGGTATCCTCGATACTAAACACAAGGTGAATATATGGCAAGAGCCTAAGCAAATTAAGGACCATATGTGAGGATGATCCTTGGCTCAACGGTAAAGTTGATCCATTGTGACCAGGACGTCACGGATTCGAAACGGGAAATAGTCTCTCCACATACGGGTAAGGCTGCATACATCTGACCCTTCCCAGACCTCGCAATGGCGGGAGACTCAACCACTGGGCTAGCCCTTTTATATGATATAAATGTAAATCAAATATAGTTATGATGGAAAAAGGTAAATATACAATGTAAACTACTCAATGTTAAAACGAGGACATTTTCAGTAAGTCAATTTAGTGGATTAGCTAAATAAATATACCTATATCTTTTTACTTTGCATATGTATTCAATTAAATCAATGTAAAATAGAAACACTTCAAAAAATGCATTAGTTTTTTAATTGTTCATAAATGGACTTATTTGGAATATCAACTGAGAGGGTCAAAGCACATATAACCCTTTAATATGCATATGCTTCAACTAAATCAAAAATGATTACATGTTGACAATATTAATAATGAGAGAGAGAGAGAGAGAGAATCAAGTGCTAATAGAACCACTCACAGTAGCTGGTTCAAACATGCAGCCAAAAAGGTTGAGAAAGTCCCTGCAAAAGAAGCAGATGATGAATACAACAAATTAAGAAATCAGGACATATGAACTAAGATACTAAAGTTACTAATAACAAACTGAAGAAGATGATGTTGTAATTTCTTTTTTTGCATCAACTATGCAAAATTAAGTTAGCGCGGTCAGTAATCTAAGATATACTTGTGAATGCACTTAAATCCTTCATCTTCACACTCAACAAACCCTCCTATTGCATGTGAAATGATGCATGATCACATCAACCTCCTATGGCAGGCATAGAAAGGAGGGAGGAGAAAGGGAGGGAGTGGTTGGGGAGCAGCACCATCATGTGTATCTGGAAGCACTAAGCACCATTGGGCAGATGAGAAAAATGTACTTGTTATAATAGTAAGTGAAAATACACCTTTCATGTGAGAAAAGTGTACTTACCATGGCCTCTAAATATGATATAAGTGTACTTATTATGATTTAGCAATGAGACTCTAAATCCAATTTTTCTTTATTTATTTTTGTACTTTTATATATGTAATATTTACAAAATGCTCCCTCAAATTCCCCTTTCTAATTCTTCCTTTTTGTTCTCCTTATTCCTCAAATTTCTTTGATTCTCTTCAAAAAGTGTTGTATTCACCCTTCTTTAGTCCAACCCTATTTTTTTTTTCCCTTTTAAAGTTCTCTGATTTTTTATTTTCTTTTTCTTTTTCTTTTTCTCTTTTAAAACTTCTTCTTGCACTTGTATATGATGTATGGGCAATAACGTTTTTTTTTTTTTCTTTCTTCTTCTGTAAATTCATTGCTAAATTTTATGAACTTAATGTCCATCTTTTATGTTTCTGATTTTTTTTCTTTATTGCATTTCTTTGCCAATAATGACAATACTATTTGAATCTTGATTACTGCACCCTTATCACACTTCAATTTTTCAACTTGTTGTCTTGTTGCACTTTATTTGTCATTTTAGTTGGGAAATTTTTTATTTTATCAGGTTCAATGTGCTTGAAACAAATTTCGGGCTGAATCACTGAGTATCAAACACATTATTTCACTTAGATCCACTGAATATCAAACACATTATTTCACTTAGATCTAGAGTATCCAGATCTGTCTTTTAGGTGATCCACGTTTTTTTAGAAGGATTGGCACCCGGTGCCAACTACGACTGATCTCATACCACAATATTTTAATCTTCCTATTAACTTTGAAGGCTGGCTTAATCTGCCGAAATCAAACAATTGGTAGAACATGGAAAAAAACAGAGATAAACACTGAATCTGCCGAAATCTAACAATTGGAAAAACATGAAAAATCAGAGAGAATAGCAAATTGTCGCCATAAATAGTCATGAAAGTCACAGAAAATATATAAGCACGGAAGTGATGCAGAGGCATTACCCGACTATCCATGTCATGAGGAAAGCAACAGAGAGACCCTCTGTAGATTTTTTCTTGTAGTTTGTGACGATTTGAGGTACCTCAGCAACTCCCCAGCTGATGACACTAATTAAACCCAATGCTAATGAGACTCTGTCTTTCACGCCGCAAAGACAATAGTTCATGTACTCCCTTGCCCACTGCAAGCAATGCTGATCCATGGGGCACATTGGTGCCGGAGAACTTTCCAAGAGTCCCATTGCGTCCAAGGAGATCGATGTACACTCAAAACTATAGAACACTCCTATATATATATATATATATATATATATGCACACACAGTCAGATTGTAGCTTGAAATATGTCACATGGCAAAAGGACAACAACAATACACTAAAAAAATTAGGATAATTATTTAAATTAGAATATTTGTTTGTTACTCAAAAGGGAATCAAATTCACACTTTAGCACTTACCAAAAAGAGAAGAAAGAAAAAGAATTATTAAAGAATCAAAACAGTTTAACTTTCAAAATCAGAGAGATGAAAAGTGTATAAATGTAAGTATTCAGAGAGAGAGACAGAAAGAGATTTAACACAAAATGGACAACCAATAAATTAAAATATAGAGAGAGAGAGTAAAGTAAGAGAATCAAGTCGATTATTTGTTTATTACTCGAAATGGCAATCAAATTTGCACTTTACAACTTACCAAACAGCAAAGAGAGAGATATATTTTGGTTATTATTTAGTAAATAACACAAATTAAATTCCAAAAACATAGAACGCAATGAAAGCAGACGCATATTCTATCATTTAAAAAACAAAATATTTGAGGCATTACGCTAAACAAGAAAACATATAGTACACACACACATACCTATATTATATATATATATATATATATATATATATATATATATGTAATAAAACCCTATTCACCAAGATAAATAAATAAAACGACATTGAACCCGTTTGAACATAATACAAAATACGTGATCTTATTAATAACAATATATAATGGATAAATTTTAGAGAGAAAACGTAAAAACATATAATAAACAGCATATTGTGTATGTGTTTATATATACATTTATATATATATTAAATAATGATAGCTTGCAGATTGAGAGAGAGAGAGAGCAGATATGTCAGCTAGAGGCGGGTTTCTTACTTTGTTAGTCTTCCGGTAGTCTTTCTCAGTTTTGGTTCAAGCGTTCTTCACGTGAAAAATACTTACAGCTGGGAAGAGATAAGAGGAGAGAGAGAGAGAGAGAGAGAGAGAGAGAGAAGAGGAGAGAGAGAGAGAGGCGTTCTTGTTGCGGAGTCCAGTGCGCATCTAATTTGAGTTTGCGGCACAGGTTGTTCTAGAGAGTCCAAGACTTCGAGTTCCGACGTGAACAGTTTAATAATCTACATTAAATAGGGGTATCGTATCATACTTAAAATATTTTCATAGGGAATTACTATTTCACTATCGTTATGTTTGGTCATCGGGATACTCCTAATTCTTTTTCAAAAAAGAGATTTTTTAATTTCGATCTGGAAAAGGAGAAGGAAATGGATTCGATTTCAAATAAAAATCTATTTGTGCTTCTAGAATATATTGAAATTTGAGATACTCAGGTCAAATTAGATCAATTGCAAAAAAATATTTAATAAATAAATTACTAGAATAGTTGTGTAGATAACTAAAAAGACATTCATACATATCCTCTATTTTAATACATATTGCACTTTATTTTATTATGTGTTTGTGTTTCTTATTTAAGCAAGCTAAACAAATTGTCAATTTAAAGGAAAGAAAAAAACGAACAATTATACTAAGTTTCTCTCTCTATATATATATATATATCATCTTCTGCACTCTATATATTTCAATTAATGTTGGGTATCTCTTTCAAATTTAACCTTAATAAAAAAATACCAAATCAAAATACAATTAAAAAAAAAATAAGTTAATTTATGTAAATTAGGGTTTTATTCACAGTAAAGAGGTCATTCATTTATGGTAAAAAAAATTATAACTTTTAATTTTAATTATTTGTCAATTTAATAGAAGGAAATTCTTATTCACTAGAAATAGTCAGTTAGTCACTCATTCATGGTAAAAAATTATAACTTCTTTTAATTATTTGAAAATTCAATAAAAGAGTCTCTCCAAACCAATTGAAATTGTATTTTTTTTCGATTACTCTGTTCAAATATGAAAGAAGAAAAATACGAATCTACAACTCTTTACCGCACTGTTTTTAGCATTTATCTCCAAATTTTGTACTATTATATTATTTTAGTGTGTGCAACTTTTAATTCACCAACAAACCACAAAATCAATTTGTACTGGTGCAAAAAATGTTGCACCGGTGTACTATTTCTGTTGCCCAATAATTTTTAATGCCATCGTTATGAAATATATTTGTATAATTTTTATTTTATTATATTTATCTTTTATCCATAAGGTCCCGCTATTAACCCATCGTGTCGCACTTTTATTTCACTCCCGTTTGAAATATATATATATATATAACTTTTATCTCACTATATTAGTCTTTTATTGCATAAGGTCCTACTATATTTGTCATGGCCCAGAGATTAGATTTAGCGCAACTGCACGCCTATGGAACACTAAAGCGTTGTTTCAGCTCGCGTAAGTGCTCTGGTCAACCACCACGACCTGCTCTCCAAAGGAAACATGCTGACTGGTTTCGGCCTGCTTTGGCCTAGTCAGGAGAGCGGCTCCAGCTTCCGACCAGTTTGTGCAGGGATAACCAACTCCTTTCTTCATAGTTAAGTCCACAACTAACGACAAGCACTTCGAACTGAACCGAGTCGACCTGCCTAAACTCTAAAGAGGTACTATTCTTTGGTCCTGCACACCCCTTTTCTAGAACCATTCCCAGTCAATGAATGCTCTTAGCCAACCAGCATGCGTGTCTTTAATACTCATGGCGTCGTTAGGAATCACAACGTGACAATCTCTTTCTTCATGTAAGAGCATCAAGCTTCATTCCTCCATTAATCCGGTGAACATTAATCCAACACACTTCAACTTATTACGAAATTAAATAGAAAATACAAAAAAGAGATCAAACACACACACACAAGAACACATAGATTTTACTTGGTTCACCTAAAATCAGGGCTACATCTAAGGGTTGCAGGGATTTTCATTATGAATAAATATTCTCGCACTAAGGCCACATAACAAGTGTAAAAATTACCAAAATACCCAAAAAAAAAATCGGGTCGGGGGCAAGCCCTAGAACCACCACCTTTGGCCCCCCTTTCCCTACCAACTCACGGTGAAAATAGATCTTGCAGAGTTGGGGCTTGGTGTACATTATCTATCAGGCTTCACACTACCAATCAATTTCCCACTTGGAGATTGATAAACATTAAATTGTCAACTCCCACATGCCTTCATATGTAGTTAAACACCACAGCAACTCACTCCTCTGTCCTCAAGCTTGAACACCAACTGAAGCTAAACAAAGCTTTAGTTTCTCAATTGTCACTGCCTTGGTTAACATGTCTCTTCTCAAGTGATAAAACTCTATTCTCCAAAAGTAAATGTATGAAATGGTACCTCAAGTGTATATGTTTTGTTCTGGAATGGAACGCCGGATTGTTATCAAGATGAATAGCACTCTGACTATCATTGTATAAAATATTGTTCTCTTACTTCTTACCCAATTCTTCCAAAAAAACCTGCAACCAAGGAGAGGTTATTGGTTAAGTTATGTAGATAGGTTATGTCTGGGTGCAATTAGTGCAAGGGTCTTGCAATTGGGAATCGTGGCCTTGCTACTTTGTCTTCCACCTCTCACCTTTTCACTTCGTCTCTCCAACTCCCTCAGCCGAAGACTCAGAAGCAAAGGAAACATGAAAGGAGGGCAAGCGTCGCCAATGTTCCCAACCTCTCACCTCGTCACGATCTCCGTCTTCAAGTTCAATTCAAGTGCTATGGTTGCCTTAAGCCTCTTCCTTGTTTTTGGATTTTGCTTAATTCATTGTTTAAAGGCGATGCCGTCGTGAAATTGCCCTTCATACTGGTTCTAATCATGCTGAATATGAGCCGCAGAGGGAGGGGTTGAAGAAGAGGAAGAAGATGGGGTATTTCTGTAATTTCGCAAATAATTATTATATTTTTTAATTTAATATTAAATAGCAAGGTCAAATTCGACATTTCATCGTCCGATTAACGGGTTGGACTGAATATTCAGGCAAGGTGATCATTTTTAAAGTATCGGGAGTTTTTTAAAATAGGTTTGAACCATTAATTATGGATTGCTGACTTCAAATTCATGAACTATTCTTGAATTTAAATCTAAAATTATGTTTTTGAAAATCCAAATTGATACATAACTCATCAGTATTGATCCTTTCAGAAATTGTTGCACAGATATTTAATGAGGTACTGTATTTTTTTATACATGCGCCTATAGGGAATTCGAGAGTTTATGATAAAAATTGAAATTAGTAGGATTTTTTTTTATAAAAAAATTAGCACATAAAATATTACGAGTATTAACAGACCAAACCGACCCAAATTTCTCCAAACAAATTTCTAGCCACGTCAGTACTCTATTTCCGTCCTTCCTTTCCCCGCCACGCATTCCGAATTCCTAATAAATCTGAACTTCCTCTTCCGTCAACCCGAAGAACATGCTTACAGAGTTAAAAGGAAGAAGCAAATTGAGGTATAATTAGCAGATACCCTTATCGTTTTGATTGAAACTGCTATATATATATATATATATATATATATATATTAATGTCATGAAATTTATTGAAATTTTTTTCCCTACATTCTGATGGTAATACTCTGATTTCGAGTTGCAACGATCGATTTGTTCCTAATCTTGGTTTCGTTGTTTGCTTCCATTTTCGTTTTGAATTTTAGGTCTGGAATTATAGATTTCTTTGTTGAGGCAACTGATTTAGGTTATGTTGAATCAAGATTTTGTAGTTTCTATGTCATTTTTACTGGAGTCATGTGATCTTAATTTTGGGTCACACCATTTCACTTATATTGAGACTCACATAGTGGAATCAGGGTCGGAGCCCGGAAATATTCTGTTGGAGGGCCAAAATAGTAATTTAAAATTAACTTCTAGAAATAAAATAGAACATTTTGTAACACTTTTTCTTTCAATGCATTTTTAATGTATATTTGTAAGAGCATGTCTATAAATGCTATGAGAAGAAAAAATGGAGGAAAAAAAAAAAAAATTTGACAGCCAATACTCAATAGATGAGGTTATCGAGTGTCAAACATTTTTTCCTTCTCTCTTGAATTCATAACAAATAGTATATATGTGTATATATATGAATAAACTTACTATAATAATTAACACTTCTTTTACCATATATGAATTTTTAAAAGAAAGAATAAGAAGAAGTAATTTCTTTTACAAATCTCCTTTAATAATCATAAATAGGTAACCATAAATAGAATTTTTTTTACAAATGTTTTTTTTTTTGTGTGTGTGTGTGTGTTGGTTGGGGGGTTGGGCGGTGGGGTTAGGGACGGAGCAAATGAAGGGCCAGGAGGGGCACCTCCTGGCCTGGCCCCGGTGGGGTTAGGGACGGAGCCCTTTATAATATATGTAGTAATTTTTTATATTTTTTCTATATATAGGAAAAATTTTATACAGTGCCCCTCCTGGCCTAGCCCCGCTCTTTATAATATATGTAGTAATTTTTTATATTTTTTGTATATATTGGAAAAATTTTATACAGTGCCCCTCCTGGCCTGACACCGCTCTCTATATAATATATGTAATATTTTTTTTAAAATTTTTTTCTATATATATGAAAATTTTTATACATTGCCCCTAAATTTTGAGGTTTATTATTCCTTTATTTTCTCTTTTACTCTTTAAATTTCTTAAATTTTCTTAAAAGAAAAATTTAAATTTTTCTTTCTCAATTGAAACTCTTAGGCTCAGTTTGGTAGAGTGGAAATGGGAGGAAAGGGAAGGGAAGGTGATGGAGGGTGATTAAAAAATTGTGTTTGGATAAAATGGGTGGAAGGAAAGGAAATGAGAGGGAAGGGTTTGGAGGGTTATGTATAGCTTTGTATAACAATTTGCTTATCTTCCCAAAAATGGGAGGAAATGGAAGGCAATAGCTGAAGCAATATTTGTGATGTTAATTTTACCCTCAAGATTATATATACATACAAGTTAGCAGCTGCAGAGAGAGTGAGAGATTGCTGGCAACGGATGAAGCTTGCGACCGGCGAACCCGAACTAGAACAGCGGCGATGGAAATTGAAAGATATGAGTTTTGATTTTCTAAACAATCTGAAATGATATACCGATACGGGTTTTGAACTTTTGATTCTTGCAGACAGATGGATAAACTGAAATATATGGGTTTTGAACTTCTGATTCTTGTAGTGCAGAGAGAGAGAGAGAGAGTAAGTTCAGACTCGAGAACGAGAAAGTAGATGGAGGCGAGATTGGGGAGGCTGAAATGAGTTGCCTTAAAATTTTTTTTTCTTTTCTTGTGGACCTGAGGAGACAATATAAATATACACACATATATATGGAGGTGAGATTGGGGAGGCTGAAATGAGTTGCCCTAAATATATATGTACATACATATATATATATATATATATATATATATGGAGGCGAGATTGGGGAAGCTAAAATGAGTTGCCCTAAATTTTTTTTTTTTCTTTTCCTGTGGGCCTGAGGAGACAATATATATATATATATATCAGAGTTGAGAACGAGAATATGGAGGCTGAAATGATTTGCCCTAAATTTTTTTTTTTTTCTTTTCTTGTGGGTCTAGAGACGGTATATATATATATATATTTTAAAATATAAAAGGGTTTAATGGTCAATTTATTAAAATAATTCCCTTTCTTTTCTTTTCCCTTCTTTTCCCAAACGTGATTATTGTCCTTCCCTTTCTTTTCCTTCATTAATCAACCAAACACAATACCAAATTAAAATTATCCTTCCCTTCCCTTTCCCTCATAACTAATGTTATCCTTCTCCTTCAAACCCATCCTACCAAACATAGCCTTAACTTTTTCCGTTTAAAGTTCTCTCATTTTTCTTTCTTGTTCCAATTCCTACTCCTTAAAATTCATCTTTTTAACGTGCATATTTGAATTTTCTTCTTCTTCTTCTTCTTCTTTTTGTATTTTATATTTGTAATGTTTACATATATATATATATATATATATATATATATATATATATATTACATGGTGTCCCTCCTGAGTTGAAATCCAGACTCCGTCAGGGGGCAACTTCAGAATCACCATCGAGTCCATTGACAACTTCAGTTTTTCTAGCCTCGACTCCCTCTGATTGGATTATTGGAATAGTTGTTGTCATTCTCCTATTTGCACACACAAAAAGTCTAAGGTGGTAGAAGTTAATAATAAAAATCGAGTACCGTTCAAAATGGAGAAATGGCTGTCAGGAATTACTCCACTGTCAAACAGTAGCCTAGATTTATGTAGGAGTTTTTTTTAGATCATTAAGATAGGCTTTGATTTTGGTTCTTTAGCCAAGATGGGTTGCTTTTACTTCAGAAGCAATGGCAGGAGATTACTTTAAAATGAACTTTGTTTTATTTCAATAAGACATCTTACCCCATTTGCTTACCTCATTGGCAAGTTTTCGTTTAAAATTATATTTATTTGCCTAGGATTTTGTATTGAGTCCCTACAAGGAAAATTCAGAAAACATAATTGGACTAAAGTGACTGGTATATCTTTTTTCCCCTCATTTAAATGTTTAGATTATATCTTTCATTCGATTTTTTATTTTTAAGAAAAAAAAAAGAAACTCAATTTACTATAATTCATAATCCATAATCCATTAATGTAGACACAAAAGATTTCCTTCTGTTACTTATCGAAAAATTAAAAAAAAAAAGATTTCCTTCTGTTGGCATGCGGCTTCAAGAACAAATGTCCTTTAGTTGGCATGTGGCTCCTCTGAAGTACTGATTTACTGTAAATTCTCCCAGTCTTGCTAAAGAATCCACTTTGTGATTCAAGGGTTGAGGAATACAATTAAATTGTATTTGAACTAACTTGAGAGGTCAATTGCGTCTGTCAGCAGGTTGAATAATCTCCATGGCCTGTCCTTGACCCAATTTGCAACAAATTTGTATTTTTATTTTTATTTTTTCTTGGTTAATTTGCAACATTCCTGTTGTCACACTCGTAGATGATTTCCAGAACTTTAGGATTTATCTTTCGTTGTTCCCTTCTGAAGAGCTCTTACATGTGACTCTCCTCTAAAATGTTTGGAGAATGGAAAAACATTGTTTCCTTCGTGGTTACTCGTGCACTTTCAAATCTCAATGGTCTTAGGTTACATGAGGCGCAGTACCAAATTTAATATTTAAGTTGCACCATGGGAGGTAAAGTAATGTTGAGTTGGGGTTTGGTAAAGTGGGGTGGTGAGGGGGCAAGCAATTGCGTACGTGTCTTTAATGATAAAAATAATAGCTTAATGTAGTTCTCTCATCTAGTGAAGGACAATAAAAAAATTTCTGTTAATAATTTTGTCTTGTGAAAGACAGGTCATTATGTGGTACCATTTCTACCTGGAACACATGGTCTAGAATGTTGAGGGGATTGGAGAGCCTAACTTTAAATTATTATTATTTTTTTTCATAATTAACTTTAAATTATTTTCAAGGCATAAAAAAGTTATTATAGACGATTTAAACATCTCTCGCCCTCTAGATGAAGACAAAAATTTGAAGAAAAATTTGTAGATTATATCTAATTTTTTGCATCAAGTTTTGAAGTTAAAGCAACCAAAGAAAAATCTCTTATGTAATGATACATTCGGATTGGCAAACTAATGTCCTGTTTCATTACCAATGCCATCAGTAGTTCTTTTGAAGAGAAAAAATTGAAGAAAAATTTGTAGTTGATATCTAATTTTTTGCATTAAGTTTTGAAGTTAAAGCAACCAAAGAAAAATCTCTTATGTAATGATACATTCCGATTGGCAAACTAATTTCCTCTTTCATTACCAATTTACTAATGCCATCAGTAGTTCTTATTACGTGGATTCTTTATTGTTTGTTCTTTCACTCATTTGAAAGAAAGAACCACTATCACAATATTTTTTCCCTCCATTCTTTAGTCATAATTGACAAATTAATAGCGGACCATTAGATCTTGTTCTATTGGTATATTTCCTCGCTGGCTTTTCAATGCAACTATCTCTTTTAATTTTTAACTTTCTGTTTTGTGTCATGGCCATTATTTTCTGATGTTATTTTGGATGCTTGCTTCAGACTACTGCTCAAGTGATTATAAAGAACGTGGAAGGTACATTACGCGTGTCTCTCTGAGAAATATGAAAGGTGAAAGCGGTTATGTGCCACCTTCTTATATTCCTCTGGGACAGTCAGACTCTGTAGCGGAGGCTGCTTCACAGACAGATTTCGTAGTAGAGGTTTCTCCACGCAATGATGACATCCCTGTTGGTCATCACAGAAGCAATGTCCCAGCTCCATGGTCTTCTGGAATCTGTGCTTGTTGCGATGATATGCAGAGCTGTATGCTACTTTCTGCCTTGTGAACTTGATTTATCAGAAGGAAAAAAATTATGAAAGGTGCATCTTGAGTGATAAAAAGAAACTAAATGAATGCACATGTTAATTTTCTTTTATTTCCATAATAATTACAGTTACGTACTAATATAATAATGTGAAAGAACACATTTTATGGGACTATATTATTATATTTGATATGGTCAGCTCTTTGCTAGTTAAGTGGTTAAAATATTTTGAATGCTATTACTATCACGGTGGGCCACTAGTTGAGTAAATCATGATTGCCAACCACTCTGCTTGGACGTTCTAACTTTGGATATTTAGTTCCCGCTTTGCATTAAGGTGCACAAAATGTCTATTAACATGTATGTAGGTGAGATAGTTGATTCTAAAAATCAAAGCCTTAATGGTAGATGAGGTGTTACTGGAGATTTATGCTGCTACAAGATGAAGCTGCAGTTGTTGGATGTCATTTGATATACATTCAATAAATGTGCTCAAGTTTATCCTTTAGTTTTTGCCATGGTCTTTGCTTAGTTCTGTTTGAGGTATGTACCCACAATTTTGTTTACACTTCGGATAGGTTGAACAACAACATAAATTGCTATACTTCCATTTATTTGTATATAATTAACAAATTAAGTGAAGATTTACTTGTGTAGAGTAAATATAGCATGCCCTTAAGAACTTTAATAAATGAGAGTAAAAGTTGGCCTCAGCAAGATGGCCAGATGTAATTTCTGTTTTTTTTTGTGGTAGAGACTCTTTTCATGATTTTCTTTGTATTGTTATTCTATTATTATTTTTTTGTTAAAGAAAAGGAAGGGTGACAAGGAGAAAAGTACATTTAGGCTGACAAAGGAGGAGAAGGGATTTTGTTGGATGAGACATGGATACGATGGAAAACTGTTGTTGGAGAATGTTTATCAAGCCTGTTGGAGACAATTCTATTGAAGAAACTGGTTTGTGTAATGGTCTAAAAGAATATTCTGCTGTACAGTAGCACCTTGGAGGACCTTGATAACCTTAGAATCATCCAAGGGATAAGATTTTGTTGTTTGTGTTGAGCTTTAGAGTTTTTGCTATCTAAATAAAATCATTTTTTTTGTAATAATATTTTACCTTGTTAGAATGTTTTGGGTCATTATGTAATTACATATAGTTGGTAGGGTTATTGTGTAATTAGCTGAGTCTTGTATCTTTATATAAGCCACTATAGGCTTAGGGTTTTATATATATAATACACATTTCTGTAGCCACCATGATCTCTCTCTCTCTCTCACAGTCTCTCTCTCTCTTATCAATTTGAACATGGTATCAGAGTGGTACGAAACAATGGGAAACTAAGATTGTAGTTATGATTGCATCTGTGTTGTTCTTCTACAAATTGAAATTGAGATCGAAAACGATTCTGTTATTCGCTGAAGGTTTGGCCGTCGTTCTGTTCAGAGCCGGAGGTTTGAAACTGTCGTTGTGTTCAGCGCTTCTTGTCCGTTGTTCTTAGATCTGAAGCCCTTTGTTTTGTTGGCCGAGGCTGCCTTGGCCGTCGCAAGTTGCAGAGGTTCCATCATCGCGAACCATCTCTGCTCGGTTGTTAGATCGTTGCTTGTGTTGTGTTGCCGTCACCGCTGCAAGGGCTAGGGTGTGTACTAGCCTTGATTCCCCATTGCGAAGCTCGGGTGCTGGAGTTTATTGTTGGTGGTAGAGTTCTAGTTCTTGCCGGCGTTGATTGTAAAGGAGAAGGGTGGTGTTTGGTTGCAGGCGTGAAGTTATCCTAACCTTGGTTTACTAAAGCCGGAATAGCAGAGAATTGGTTTTGATTTGGCTCGTTTGCCCAGATCCAAACCGGGTGCCCAGATCCGACCCGTTTGCCCAGATCCAGCCCGTCTGCCCAGATCTGGATTTAGTTTTTTTTTTTTTTTTTTTCCAGGTATGATTTTCTTTTCTCTCTTTCCTTCTCCATGGCTGCCTGTTCAGACCTGCTTTCTTCTGCTTCTTTCAATCCTCCCATGACTTCAGTCAAGCTCAATGGCAAGAACTATATTTTATGGACCAAGTCAATAGCTATTTTTCTGAAAGCCAAAGGCTTTGGCTCTCATTTGGTTAAGGATAAGCCTAAAGACAGTGATGCGGATTTCAATTCATGGGAACAAAGGGATGCTCAGATCATTTCCTTAATGCTGAATTGTATTGAACCCAATATCAGCTCCAACATGTTGTATTTGGATACTACCAAGGAGATATGGAACCGCCTCCAACAGTTATATTCAGGTACTGGTAATATCACCAGAATTTATGAGGTGTGCAGACAATTCTTTGCCCTCCTACAAGGTACTCACAGTCTTGCAGAGTACTTCTCATAGTCAGTGGGAATTTGTGAAGAAATGAACTTTTATTAGTCTATCACCTCTGATGTGAAGAGCATACAATAACAACGTGAGGATTTTAATGCTGTTCGGTTTCTCACGGGGTTGTCACCAGAATATGAATCTGTTCGTGCACAGATTTTGGGTAGCCCTGCACTTCCCTCTCTTCCTGATATGTTCTCCAGACTCTAGCGTGCTACTTTATCTAGTGGCGCTTCCGGGAGTGCTTCAAGTGGTGTCATCGCTCCTCCTAGCAGTGAACGTTTTGCATTAGTTGTGAACCAGGGTGGTTATCAGTCTTCTCATGGCAGTGGCGGTCGTTTTACCCATGGACGTGGCCGTGGTTGTGGCAGAGGCAGAGACTTAAAACTCTGCACTCACTACGGTCTTACTAATCACACTGTCAATTACTGTTGGGATCTTTATGGGAAACCGCCACCTTCTTCCTATGCACATCAAATAACCTCTACTGAAGGGGATTCTTCTTTCTCTGCCACACCAACTACTCCACAAGTGGCTGTTGAGTTTGCTATGGTCACCATGACAATTTCCTGCGATGAGTATGCTCAGTTTATGTCTCAACAACGGCCTTCCACCTCATCTTCCATGGTTTCCTTTGCCCAATCAGGTAGTGCAACTGCATGTCTCTTATCCTCTCGTTAGAGTCCCTGCATTTTTAACTCTGGCGTATCCGATCACATGACTGGTAGTTCTCATCTCTTATCTGATTTTCAGTCTGTTCCTTGCTCTCAAAGTGTTACTCTTGCTAATGGCTCCTCCACTAAAGTTTTGGGTGTGGGAACCACCCAACTCACTCCTTCTATGTCCCTTTCCTCTGTATTATATATTCCTCAATTCCCTTTTAATTTGATGTCCATTAGTCAAATTACTAAATCTCTTAATTGCTCCGTTATATTTTATCCCTCATGTTGTATTTTTCAGGATCTCAAGACGATGAAGAAGTTTGGTCCGGGACATGAAGTAGGTGGCTTGTATTACTTTGATCTTGCACCATCTCCCACGACTCTTCAATCATCTTTGTCTCCTTTCCAGTGGCGCTGTCGTCTTGGCCACCCATCATTATCAGTTTTGCAGCGTCAAGTCCCCAGCCTTAGTCTTAGTTGTGTTGAGTCCATGCCTTGTGAAGCATGTCAGCTTAGTAAGCATTTTCGTGTATCTTTCAAACCGAGAGCTACCAATCGTGTTGCTAGTCCTTTTCAATTAATTCATTCAGATGTATGAGGCCAATAAAACATATTTCTATTAATGGATTTCGTTATTTTGTGACTTTTGTGGATGATCATTCTCGTATGACTTGGTTGTTTTTAATGAAAAATCGTTCTGAGTTATTCTCTATTTTTCAAATATTTCGCAAAGAAATAAAAACTCAATTTGGATGTTCCATTAAAGTTTTACGTTCTGACAATGCCAAAGAATATTTCTCAGACCCTTTTGAGACTTATTTTCATGCTAAAGGTATCATTCATCAATCATCTTGCACTTATACTCCTCAACAAAATAGAGTAGCTGAACGTAAAAATTGTCATTTCCTTGAAGTATGTCGTGCCCTTTTATTCCATATGCATGTTCCCAAACGTTTTTGGAGTGATGCTGCCTGTCATCTTATTAATCGGATGCCTTCGTCGGTGTTACAAGGGAAATCTCCTCATTCTGTTCTATTTCCCAACTCCGCATCGATTAATATTACTTCTCGGGTCTTTGGATGTGTATGTTATGTCCATAACCTTGGGTGCCACTAAGTGTGTTTTTCTTGGGTATTCTCGCACTTAGAAGGGTTATAGTTGTTACAGTCCTCATTTTCAGCGCTTTTTCACTAGTGCTAATTTCTCCTTTTTTGAGTCTCTCCCATATTTTTCTGATTCTACTACCCTTCTCGATATTACTCTTGAACCACCTATACCAACTGTTCCCTCTCTATTTCCTGCTCCCACACGTCCTCACTCCGTTGTCCCCTTGCAGGTTTATACTCGACGACCTCAACCACCTACTTCGCTCCCTCCATCTCCTTCGGAGTCTTCGGATCCGACACCATCTACTTTACCTGATGATTTGCCTATTGCTCTCCGTAAGGGTACTCGGTCGTGTGTTACTGCACATTCCATTTCTAACTTTGTCTCCTACCATAATGTTTCATTCTCTTTATCTTGTTTTTTAATCCAAAGTGTCTGCTACTTTTGTTCCCAAGACTTTGCAGGATGCTCTTTCTAATTCGGGTTGGCGTAAAGCCATGGTAGATGAGATGGATGCCCTTCACCGTAATCGGACTTGGGATCTTGTTCCCTTACCTCCAGGCTCCAAAATGGTTGGTTGTAAGTGCGTCTACACTGTTAAATACCTCCACGATGGGTCTATTGAGCGGTTGAAGGCTCGTCTGGTGGCAAAAGGGTACACTCAGACTTATGGTATTTACTACGATGAGACCTTTTCTCCTGTTGCTAAGATTTCTTCTATTCAGGTACTTATTTCCATTGCTGCCAATTGTACTGGTCGTTGTTTCAATTGGATGTCAAGAATGCCTTCTTGCACGGTGACTTGGTTGAAGAAGTTTATATGGAGCAACCACTTGGGTTTGTTGCTCAAGGGGAGTATCGTCACACTGTTTGTCGCCTTAAAAAGGCCTTGTATGGATTGAAACAGTCTCCACTGGCTTGGTTTGGAAAATTCTTTGAGGCGGCATTAGAATTTGGTCTTAACAGATGCCAGGCCGATCATTCGGTATTTCACCAGCGCACTAAAGCTGGCTTCATTTTTCTTGTGGTGTATGTAGATGATATTGTAATCACGGGTGATAATTTTGAAGGTATTGCTAAGTTGAAGTTGTTTCTGCAAAATCGATTCCACACTAAAGACTTGAGTAAACTTAGGTATTTTTGGGTATTGAAGTTGCTAGATCCAAGAAGGGTATAAGTTTATCTCAACGCAAATATGTGTTGGACTTATTAGAAGAAACAGGTATGTTGGGTGGTCGTCCTGTTGATGCTCCTATGGATTCAAATACAAAACTTTTTCTGATGAGGGTGATCTATTTAATGACTCGGGCAGATTTCGTCGCCTTGTTAGGAAATTAATTTATCTCACTATCACTCGACTTGATATTTCATATGCAATTAGTGTTGTAAGTCAGTTCATTGGAGCTCCTAGAACGCCACATTGGATTGATGTTCTTCGGATTATTCGATATCTCAAGCAAGCTCCAGGTTTTGGGTTACTATATAAATCAAATGGTCATCTCAGGGTGGAAGGTTTTACAAATGCTGACTGGGCTGGTTCTCCTTCAGACAGGAGATCTACTACAGGCTACTGCACATTTGTAGGAGGAAATCTTGTTACATGGAAAAGTAAACGGTGGTAGCTCGATTCAGTGCTGAAGCTGGGTACAGGGCAATGGCCCATACCACTAGTGAGTTGACATGGATACAACATTTTCTAAAAGAACTTAGGTTGACAGTTGAAACTCCTACTCCATTATTCTGTGATAATCAAGCAGCCGTTCACATTGCATCAAATTCTGTGTTTCGTGAGAGGACCAAACATATTGAAGTTGATTGTCACTTCATTCGAGAAAAAATATTAAGTGAGAGCATCTCTACTCCATTTGTGAAGTCTGAAGATCAATTAGCTGATATGTTTACCAAAGCATTGGGTCATAATCGGGTAAGGACTATTTGTTCCAAGCTGGGATTATTTGATATATACTCTCCAGCTTGAGGGGGAGTGTTAGAATGTTTTGGGTCATTATGTAATTACATATAGTTGGTAGGGTCATTGTGTAATTAGCTGAGTTTTGTATCTTTATATGAGCCACTGTAGGCTTAGGGTTTTATATATGTAATACACATTTTTGTAGCCACCATGATCTCTCTCTCTCTCTCTCTCTCTCTCTCTCTCTCTCTCTCTCTCTCTCATCAGTTTGAACATACCTTAGCAATAAAAATCATACCCTTAAACCCCACACTACCATAGACATTGTGCTACAATGGATTTGGAATGGTATGATCAACACTAAGCCTAAGCAATGGTATCAGTAACTAAATTTAGTTTGAGATTGCTGTCACGTCCTAACTCCTAGCAAATCTTAGCTTAGGTTTAGATGATGGTTCATTTTGGAGCATAGGAATGAGGGCTTTGATGTTAGGATGCAGGACAATTTGAGGGTATAAGCTGCTTACCTACATTGTAATGGAAGGTGCCATTATGGCAAGGTTGCCTGATGGGAGTTTTAAATTGGATTCGAGGTAATTTCTCTTGTTTGGAGGATATCAGTAGACTCTCTACCGGTAACCACGGTTGAGCTTGATGGGGAGGGGTTGGTGTATAGATTGATTTAATGATCTAAAATAACATTCTAAATTGTGTCCTCTGTGTGTGTCTAGCATGCATCAAACTCTCTCTTCTTAAGCTCTTGCTGTATACACCCTTATCTTTCTCTTCTTCCAAAGTCCTAGAGTAGGGTAAGACAATTGGTTGTCTCCATCTCATGCTCCATGAGAACAGAGAAATGAACTATACAAATGAGTTAGAAGAGATCCTGCATCTGTCTCGATTGAACTAGCAGCTATGGACTTGAATACCATATGGGTCAACTCAACGAGTGTTTGGAAATAATTAAAAGGATAGCACTCCCCTTTAAAATTTTATGCAACAATTCTAATTATGGGACTTGTATGATATGACTCCTCTCTCTCTCTATATATAATATATATATCCCTCTCTTCTCCTGCTTGTTTGTATATGTAGTTAGGATCCAGAGCTTTCGTTGTTGGTCGATTTAATGACATCCTTTTTTTAATTGTCTTAACTATGTGTTTATATTTATAACAATTTGACTCGATTACAATATGACCTACTTACGTCCCGTCCTACTTCTAAATGAGGTGTTGACCTTCCGTACATATTATCACATGTATTGTCACTCTTATGCATAAAAGTTGATCGCGTGTAGGAAAGCCTGAACAGTTAGTGAGGTAGTAATCTTGTGACGGCATATGGCAAAGATTTGCTTTGATTGCTGAACAAGTTTGTCAAAGATCATGGTGAGTTGGATAAGTCTTTAAAGTGTGTGTTCAACTCTTTTATTTGTCTCAACTTTCAACAAGTTATCCATCCATGTATCCTTTTCTTTTATTTTCTTTTTCTTTTCTTTCTGATTTTTTGTTTTGTTTTTGTTTGTGTTTGTGTGTGTGCGTGTAGATTTGGTATAAAAATAGGCAGAACATTTGTAAGGAATACTATTATAGAATCTATTGCAAAGACTTCGCAATGAGTGAGCCATGAGCTCTTTGATGATCTAAGTGGAGAGGGGACAAGGCAAAAGAACAACTCACAGAGCTAGCCAAGGTTTAAAGCCGTAGGAGTGATGTGTTTCCTCACCTTCCAAAGTAGGGCAAAGTGGGGATGTGAGTTTCAAATAGGAGGAAAAAAAGAAGAACATGGATATGGATAGAATTAATGATGTGATGCAAATAAATGAATATGGAGATAATGTATACACATGCATATGAATATGTGGAGGACAGAATATTTGCAGGTGAGGAATCTGTGCTTCTCTCTTATTTATTTAATTTTTGCAGTGGGTATATGGCACATATACCCACTTTATCCAAATTGAGACTTGAACCCTCAAGGTCGACTTTGGAAGGTCGAGATGATACCAGTTAGCTATTGCTTGGCACTGCACCTCTGTTTGCATGCCTTAGAATAGTGAATCACATTACATTTCTGGGTGAGTAATAACTTTTTAGAAGCACAACTTTACAAAAAATTACTAATCAAATGGCACTTCAACTTCTGAAAAATTTTGTTCCCAAATGAACACTACTGGATATCAATCTAAGAAAAAGCACACACAATCAGCTAAAAGTAAGGCATAGGAATTTCTAAAGAATAATGTTTGAGTGAATGAAAACTTCTTAGAGTAAGAAAAACTTTCAGCAAAATGGATTATGCATTCTAAATATGACTCATAATTAGTTCCCTAATATGATTGATAGCTAGCAATTCTTAAAATAAATAACTGTTAAACTTGATACTTTCCAAAATTCCATAATTTGAGGAAATATTTACTCAAACAACTAAACTGGACATTTTTCATTAGGGCAAAATAGGCTTTCTGATTCCCTGGGGCCAAAGCCTTTGGGGTTCCAGAAAGGTTATGTCTTCTAGTACCTATCAATTTTTACTATCATCATGCTTTTTGGCAATATATTTGTATGAATCATGATTTCTAAGTGGATATAACATATTTGCATATACTTTGTTGAATAAAGTATTGTGCTTTCCTCTTGTGGTGGGAAGAAATGAATCTGTCAATTAATAACCTTAAAGTGATGAACTAATTTGCAGTTTGCCACTTTTTGCTCAGGTTGTGTAGGTCTTGTTTGCCCCTGTTTTCTTTTTGGAAAGAATGCAGAGTTTTTGGGGTCCGGAACTTTGATAGGATCATGCATGACCCATTTTATTTTGTGGGCGCTTATGAATATGCTTTGCTGCTTGTTGACTGATGGTGTTCTTTTTGGGTTACCCGGATGCTTTGTGGCATGTTATGCATGTGGCTATCGCAGGACACTACGAGCAAAGTATGATCTGCAGGTATCTCGTTTCCACTATGTCAAGTATAATGCACTTTTTTGATAGTTATAATTCTTATTGTTGGAGTTTTGTCTATATCTCCTCAACATTATGCTATGTTCGTCACCCACCTTTTTGTCAATCAAAACCGTTCACTTGATGTTCACAATCTTGTATATTGTTCCCTTGATATGGAGTGTATTTTATAATCACACCAAGTTTCGGAATATGGAGTGCATGCAGGATTTCAATCCTAATTTTCATTATTTTGAATTTTGTAAAAGACGCCAACCATATAAATGCTCTTACATTTGGTGTTTTTATAGTGTCTAAGAATTTCGAAGGATCTTGATCATTATTATCCTTCCATTACTTTCTTTTGCTACTATTCAAAAACATGTTATTCCCCTTAACATGTTGACCTGACCCTTTTAGCCAAGCATTGATTTGTTACGGTTGAGACTGTGTGATTCTTTGACTGTCGGTCTGGGTTCCCTTCTGATTTTTATGAGGAAAGCTATGGTTCCACAAAGATGATATCTCACTAATCTTTTGCTGGTGTTTTTTATATTTGCAATATATAGACAGTTGACATGGGTATTAAGAAAAGAATTTGAATGTGACTTGGTTGGGCCAATCAAATGTTGTCGGTTTTGGGTTTATGGGACCTCAGTTTTCAATGCAATAATGAGGTCTTTAAAATATTAGAAAAAGCATGTGGGGTTTATAATTTTTATTATGTGGTAAAATTCTGTTATTGAATTTGTCAGATCATTTAAGCAACTAGCCATATTTTTTCTCTACGTTTTTTTTCTTTCGTTTATATTTTTGGTTTTTCTTTTCCTCTGATTGTGAGCTGTCCATTTAGGTCAGGATGATGATGATTTAGGTCAGGTTGTTGGACAGATTTTGCTGTTTGAGGCTCATTGTGGGCTTTAAATGTACTTGTTATGAGAAGGAAATGTGTGTTTTATGCATCACTGGGGATAGCCAGCCCACTGGGTTTATTCTATAATCTTCAAATTCTATATTTATTTATAACAAACTTGATGAAGCTCGTTTTGTGTATTTTTTTTTCATTTCCTGATAGCTTGATGATAATAGTTTTATAATGAGTGTGTACAAAGAACTTGCATCTGCTGCCTGAGCTTAGGTGACCAAATCTTTTGTTGGGTAATGAGAAAGAAGTAATAAACTACTGTGGTCTGCTTAAAATTTTGCTACGAGCTTTTCATAGTGTAAAATTTTCTCACTAAAAGCTTTTTCACACGAGGATGTTGGAACCTGTCATTTCCTTGGTGCAGTAAAATATAATTTCCTGCACAGGAAACCAACTGCCTGGAGGAATTAAAACCCATGGCCAGTACTACAGTGAAAATCAATTTCCCAAGTGAAAATATCCTTTTACCACGTTCCCCTTGCTATTGAGTATTGGATGGATGTCTTGCAATTTACAGATATTTTAATTTTTGTTACTTCTTCTCCTCTACTGGTCAAGTGTGTATTTATTTATTTTTATCCCTAATGCAGGAAGCACCGTGCAGAGACTTTGTTACTCATTTTTTCTGCCATCTGTGTGCCATTTGCCAAGAATACAGGGAAATCCGTGAAAGGTCCAGCAATTCCAGCCCACCTGATCTGAATCTAATGGCACTCACAGCCCCTCCAGTCCAGACAATGGAACCAGCTTCTAAAGGATAGTGCTCTTTCTTTTATTGCATATTATTCTTTTACCTTACCACGTAGCAGTGGCTTTATTATATATTGATCCCGCTTTCCCATCCCTATTCAGATTATATTACTTGAGCCTCTGTGTTCTTTTACGTTTATGTTTTGTCTTCCAAGTTGTTGCGGGATCATGAGGTTGCTTGCCATGGTTTGTGATTTTGTTAGGAGTGACTTTTTCCTGTATAAATTATGTGATGACTTACTGGGATGATATTGAAAACCACGGTATATTTTTGGTATGATGACAATTGAGGATGATGTTTGGTCGACACAATCACCAAGGTATAACTTTGTTTGGAATAACATTGTATAAGTAATTGACAGTAGATACCAAGGAGAACGCCCCCATGAAAATGATTGTATTTTGTAGGGTTGTTTGGATAAAAATGATGACAGGTAGACTGCTTTGAGCTAAAGAGGGGATTATGGATGTGTTTTGGACCGTTTTGAGCTAAATATGATCAATTTTTTGAAAAACTGACTTTATGGGAATTTTTTAAAAAAATGTAAAAAATAGGGACAGTTTTGAGTAAGTAATTTTATTATACCAATCCCATTGATACTTTTTAGCCTTCCAATGGGAAAGGTGAAGATTCAAGTCTCAATAGGGGCACATGGGTATATGAGTTTCATGCTAAAGTTAAGTTGGCTAAATTTTTTTTTTTGGAAAGGTTAAACAAACTCATGTCTCCACTGAGAATTTTCCAACCTCTCTCCTTTAGAAAGATGAGTTTGTACCTGCTGGAATATTGTCCATTTGGTAAGTTGTTTTTTTGTTTTTTTTTTTTTTTTTTGGTGCCTTACAATACACGCACTATTCAATTTAATTTAAGAGTGTAGTTCGAAAGCGAATATTCGAAGATTTACCTTTTGGATCTCTATCTTGGAACGTCCATTTGGTAAGTTGGTTGTTTTTTGTTTCTTTGAATTAATGCACAAAGTCACAAGCATATTGACGTCCTTGAATACCTGCAGACTCATGGAAGTAACAATGCACAATTACAATTTCTAGAGTGAACTTTACCATCTCTATTAAAGATTATTTTTTTAGATTTTTACATAGCTTTTATTTTGTGGAAGGAACAAAAAAATATTAATTTAAAACACATCTATTTAATTTTTTTTTTTTTTTCATTTCAAATGAATAAAATTAATTTAAATAAACAATAATATTTTTTTAACTTTCACGATACCTTTGTACAAAATTTTCTTTCAAACTATACATTAGAAGATTTTTTTTTTTTAGCCATTATAAAAAGGAAAAGGATCATGGCCCTAGCAATGCAAACGAAGGACGGGTCTCTGACCACACGTCCCCCGGTCCCACCCCTCTCCCTAAAGAGAATTTTGTAGGAATTAGATTTCAAGAGAATTTTGCAGTTATTCGAAAACTATGAAATTTCAACAGGGAATTGAATTTGAAGGAATTTCAAAAAAAATTATTGTAAGGTTAAAAAAAGAATTTGAAGGTTCTAATGACTAACTAATTACTGTACAATGTTGCAGGGTTCAAGTTGATTTTTTAACTATTTTGACAGAAAAATAAATAAATAAAATTTATATATTTTTAATACATTTATTTAGATGTCAAATGCTAATTGGTTCGAACTAATAATCCTAATCGCGAATTCAATTTTTGCAATTGGCGAATTTGTTTTCTTAATTCGCGATTTCCATACAAATTCACTTTGTAGAGCTAAATTTGTTAGAGTCCCAATAATATGGAACATCTATGTTACCATATATACATTTATTAGTTACACTATTACCCTATATATACATTAATCAGTTAAACTCCACGCGTTCGCCCAAGTATATGGCATTGTTATACTACCATATATAAAATATATATATTAATTATACATGTTTGAAAATATACTACTAAAAAACTTTTCAATTAGAGAATATTATAAATAAATGACGCATCTATTAATGAGAAAAATTAATTAGTTTATTTATTACATATACCATTTATGGAATAAATAATAATGAATATATTTGCATGTATATTAATTATACATGTTTGGAAATATATCACTAAAATTTTTTCCAATTGGAGAATATTACAAATAAATTACGCATCTATTAATGAGAAATATTAATTTATTTATTACATATGACTTTGAGTCTTTGACGTTTTCGCGCTCCTACTCTAACACTTACTTCGCTCTGTGTGACTTAGATTCTAACATCATGTAATAATTTAAAAAAAAAAAAGTTATACCAAATGGTAATCTCCGAATAGGCAACCAATCCAATGTGATTTTGCTACTTAAATATTCTACTTGTATTAAATATCCTCTTTCTTACTTCACATGATAAAATTCGAAGGGTAAAAAAATTTGGTTGAAAATAGTGGAAAGAGAAAGTTGCGTGAAAAGAGAGAGATTGGATTTCCTAGTGCATAATTTATTTATTTTCAAATCTTTTTAGAAATTCCAGTTTATTCTAAATTTACAAATAGTCCATTTCCAATTTCAAAATCGAATAACTTGGTAAGAAACAAAGCACCATGCATCGGAAAGTAGGAGATTGATTACCCAAGACGGAACAAAGAAGTTCGATTTCTGGTCGCCGTCGGTGAGATTTCTTTGTATAACGTGTGTGTGTGTGTACACACACACACATATTGACGAATCAATCAACAGGAAAATCAGAATGAATCACTATAAGGTGTGGGGTCTGAAAGCAACAGGTAACAAAGAAGGAATCAAGAAGGCATTCAGAATGAATCACTATAAGGTGTTGGGTCCGAAAGGAGGAGGTAACAAAGAAGAAATCAAGAAGGCATTAAGAATGAATCACTATAAGGTGTTGGGTCCGAAAGGAACAGCTAACACAGAAGAAATCAAGAAGGCATTCGGAAAGAATCACTATAAGGTGTTGTGTCCGAAAGGAACAGCTAACACAGAAGAAATCAAGAAGGCATTCGGAAAGAATCACTATAAGGTGTTGTGTCCGAAAGGAACAGCTAACACAGAAGAAATCAAGAAGGCATTCGGAAAGAATCACTATAAGGTGTTGTGTCCGAAAGGAACAGCTAACACAGAAGAAATCAAGAAGGCATTCGGAAAGAATCACTATAAGGTGTTGGGTCCGAAAGGAACAGCTAACACAGAAGAAATCAAGAAGGCATTCGGAAAGAATCACTATAAGGTGTTGTGTCCGAAAGGAACAGCTAACACAGAAGAAATCAAGAAGGCATTCGGAAAGAATCACTATAAGGTGTTGTGTCCGAAAGGAACAGCTAACACAGAAGAAATCAAGAAGGCATTCAGAATGAATCACTATAAGGTGTTGGGTCCGAAAGGAACAGCTAACACAGAAGAAATCAAGAAGGCATTCAGAATGAATCACTATAAGGTGTTGTGTCCGAAAGGAACATGTAACACAGAAAAAATCAAGAAGGCATTCAGAATGAATCACTATAAGGTGTTGGGTCTGAAAGGAACAGGTAACAAAGAAGAAATCAAGAAGGCATTCAAAATGAATCACTATAAGGTGTTGGGTCTGAAAGGAACAGGTAACACAGAAGAAATCAAGGAGGCATTCAGAATGAATCACTATAAGGTGTTGGGTCTGAAAGGAACAGCTAACACAGAAGAAATCAAGAAGGCATTCAGAAAATTGGCAATGCAATTCCACCCAGACAAGCACACTCAATCCTCCAAGTCCGTCAGAGACCGTGCGACCCGCCGATTCAAGCAGATCAATGATGCTTACGAGGTTCTCATCGAGCATCACGAGCACGCCGACTACAATCAGCCAACTGCCAGTGGCGGCCATATTGGGTATGATTATGGTGACTACAAATTATACAATCATAGTTTCCGGTCATCTGTTAGTGGAAGTGGTGGTTATAGCCATAGTGGGTATGGTTATGGAGGTGGTGGTGGTGGTGGTTATAGCCATACTGGGTATGATTATGGTGGTGGTGCTGGTGGTGGTTATAGCCATACTGGGAATGATTATGGTAATTACCAAAAATCTGCAAGTGGTGGTGGTTATAGCCATAGTGGGTATGGTCATGGTGAAAAGAGTCATAGTTACCGATCATCTGCTACGGCTAGTAGTGGTGGTGGTCGTTACCCTCATATGGGTTATGGTTATGGTCAATACAGTCGTAGTTTCCGATCATCTGCTAGTGGGTCTGCTTCTCATGGCGTTTATTCCAAGTTTGGGGATGCTCTTGGCTGTGCTATTCTTCTTAACGTCGCCTTGGTTGGATTTGCTGGGTAATTTTCATCTCTCCTGTTCTTTTGCATGTTTTTAACAAAACGGCTTGTTTTGATTTATGATGGTTGGGTATATATATATATATATATATATATATATCTCTCTCTCTCTCTCTAAATCTGCTTCTTATTTATGATTCCTTGCTATCAAGAACAAATGATCCTTAAAAATCTCCGCACTATAAGGATATACTGATTTTCTGTTAATGGGTATCGCACTTTGCGACATTGGTCCATCTGTTAAAAGCCATGTACTCCTAATGAACTCATAGTAATAAGTCTGATGATTTGATGTCATCAAGTATTTAGATATGAATGATCAATTCCTCAATTTCCGGGGTAATGAATTCTTTCTTGTCAATTTGGAGACTTAGCAATAAAATTAAAAATACGTAGAAAGGCATTAGAATCAAGGGGCTAGTAATAAGTAAATCTAAAATGGAATATATGAAATGTAAATGTGATAAAGCATAAAATAATGACAATATAAATATTACACTTCACCAAAGAGAATTTTTTTTTTTTTTTTTTAGAGAATAAAGCAAATTATATTAATAAGGTAAAGATTACAAAGGCAGGCCATTTGGCCGGAAACAGCCCAAATAGAAGAGCAAGGCCCAAAAACGGCCCATCCAAAAAAACTAAACAAAAGGAGAAGCTAATAACTATAATTAACGGCTAATTAGCCGTTAAATGTGGTTGTTAGCCGTTAAATGTGGTTGTTAGCTGGCGTTCCGGTGAGTGGCCCTAGCCAGAGGTGATAAGATTCTCATCAGCCTCTACTAAAAGTAATCCGGCGGTCGAGGAGGAGGTCGACAATGAAACGGCGACATATTCCAGTCCATAAGGATACGCCTTGACGATATGCTATCTTCTAAAAAACCCAATTTTAGGAGGCCTGTGATTGTGGAGGTAATCTTTGCCAAAACAGTTCTCTGTGTTGATTTTTTCTTTTTGAAAATCCGTTCATTTCTTTCCTCCCAAGTGTGTAGATCATGGAAGAGAAACAAACTTTGCGCAGCAGGTTCATGGCTGATTC